GGCAGCAGGCTCAAGGCTGGGCTCAGAGCGTAGTCAAGCCCAAGCCCGGCCCGGAAGCCCAGGCTTGGGTGTGCTGGCTCCGTTACCGTTCCCTGAGTTCAGAATAAGGAGAGAGTGACCTAATATGCACATAGAAGACAAATTGTAGATATTCTAGATGTAACGGCTCCCGCCGAGCATGATTGTGCGTCACCATCTGGTGCCTGCCGTAGGCGCACACTCGTGGACTTTGCTGCGACTCGACTTGTTCCACAGGTGTAGATCTTCTGGAGGTTATAATTTAGTGAGTACATGCAGTATTAATCTACTACACCCAAATACATTCCCTTTTGATAGCACCGGAACACTCATTGTATTGTGAGCAAGCCCGGGCTTAAGCCCAGGGCTTGGGCCGGGCTCGGGCTTGGCTCGGGCTCAGGGCTCGGCTCGACGTCGCCACAAGCCCAAGCCCGGGCTTTGAGCCCAAGCTGGGCCCGCACATCACTACCACTGACTCAAGCCTGACCTTGAGCCCACTGCCAGGCCAGGCTCAGGCCAGGCTTTTTGGGGCTGGACTTGCAAGCTTTGAGCCAAGGCTGCACATTACTATATTCAGCAAAGAAAACAATGCTCTGCTCACACGGCTGGATTCTAAATAGAGAAGAAGGGTATCATGCACCACTTTCATCATTCTCAGCATTTCTGTATAAAACCTCCATATCCTTGAGAGCCTTGTTATCTCTACGCTCAGGCTCCATGTTCCCATGGTCATGGCTTTAGCTGATTATGTGCAGTAACCGCATCCAAACTTGAATAAATCATAAAAAGAGTTTTTAAAAATGTATTAATCTGTGCTTAAGCTGGCTGTGTACTTGGACAAGCCTACAAGGGCATGGTTGCAGTTCAGAAATTAGTAAGATATACATGTACCAGTAGCCAAGCTGCTTTCTGGGTGCTGCATTTTTGTTACTTTATATTGGTCTGTGACTGGTCCTGACTGGTCATGACCAGTCCTAAAAGCACCCAGTGCCATCTAGGACCAAGGACTGTGACCAAGACCAGACTGACGTAGGACTGGACCATACCCAGTCCTGATCAGTCCAGTCTCAGTCCAAGTCCCGGTCCCGACCGGTCCTTAGGACCGGACCCTCAACCACTAGATTTTACTCCCTCGTGATCGGGGGTGTTCAAAGTCTACGCGCGCTTCAGTCGCGTTTCACTTCGTTCGAAACGACTCTTGAAGCGGCCGTGAATCGGTTTTGCGTGCGAACTTTGAACACCCCTATTAAGCGCAGGCTGTGAATCGTTGGCTTTTTGACTGTGGCACTCATTTTTTTTTTTTTTTTTTTTTTTTTTTTTTTTGCTGTGTATTTATGGTACTCCGGCTCTTATAGTGTCTTCATTTTGGTCCCGCTGGCGTGATATATATTATACGTGAAATTTTATCGGCTGGTCACCTGTCAGGGGTTCATGCAAGGCATGGTATGTCACACCATTGACTCTCTTGATGTCAAGTGCGGTCAGCTGTTAAGTCAACAACCTGCGAGTAACGGTCTGGCGGTGTCTTGTCAGCAGATGGATGTGGTAGTCGGGCCAAGTCTCAGTTTGTGATCCACGACTTTGCGGCGCGGGAACTCTGAGAACAGCCTTGTTCTCATATTCACACTTTGCCGTGCCATACAGTGGCCACGTTATCATCTTGACACTTCCAATCTAATACACGCACGACTTACATCACGCAACGCGAGATGGACCTTCTTCCAGAAATATAGGGTAAAAAAGGCAGAGGTGCATTACTGTATAGGTGGTAAGCGGCTGGCCAACGCGGACCACAAGTTCCGCATGACCCCAGTCAGTTAGAACGCTCGCGGGGACCATGGTCAGGAGTCCGTTGACGGCGGCCCACAGGTGCTCGTCGTCGGCGCCGACCACCTTTCATACCGATCTCATACGGCCAGGCTGGCCCTGAGCCTGATTGTGGCGCGCCTGGAGCACTTCGGCGCCAGCCATCTCGTCGTCCAGAAGTACGCGTATGCGGGCGAAAGCCGAAGGACTCGCTACGGGGTCCTGACGCCCTATGATTCGATATGTACGTCTTTCTGTTCGAGAGTGTCGAGTGATACTGAGCCCGCCCAATTCAACAGCCAGCGATCTACTGCACGTTCCGTAAGCCATCGCACCGCAGCTGCTTAGCGCACGCCGACTCGCAGGATCGTCGATAGCGAGATAAAATTCAATTCCGAGGTCGTGCGGCGTCGCACTGAACGACGGGAGTGAGCTGCGGGAGCCGTTATCGTCGCTAAAATGTACGTGCTGTGCCACCCGCGACTATCGATGAACAAGCCTCTTTTTGTGCGCGTTAGATTCGATGATGTGCGTGCCGAACCGCAAGCTGCTCGGCGAGGCCACCAGCGCGGTGGCCTTGCGAGTTGTCAGGCTGTAGATTCTAATATCTCTGCACGGCGAAGTGGATGAGGATTGTGGAGAAGAGGACCACTTGGAGTCGCAGAACTCAATGAGCGGCAAGAGAAAAATATCTAGTCAGGACACACACAAAAAAGTGGCACGTCAGCATCCTATGAGTAACCTTGCACCCCCAGTCGTTCATCAAATACACACCCAATTGCCTGCCCTGCGTGGTGCTCATGAAATCGACGGCCCAGAAGACGGCCGGGTGATCTCGCCCGCGATGGCCTCTGATGTCATCTACAGAACGTTCGCGCGATATTAGTCTGCGAACGAGATGCTGGGGCTGCATTTATGTTTGGAGCTACTGCGTCAATTAGGGGACGGCGGACAAGCTGGAGAGGACGCACCCGCCAAACGTTCGCATGCGCGGGCTTGGGTCAACAGAGGTGACCAACAAGTGGCCGAGTCTGCGAAGCGCGCAGCTTAGTGCTAAAATTGGGAGACAGATGTCTAGGTATCATGCGACGGATGATTGATTTCGGACTGAAAGCACAGTGGGCCAACGGGTATGCTCAGCCAAAGCTGAGACATGGGATAGTGGTGTACTCACCGGCTCCTCAGCTACGATAATAACAGGTATCTGCAACTAACCATTAGCATTGGAACGTTTGCATCAAGCTCGAAGCGTATGCGAGAGCGCGGCTTCCAGACTCCAGAGTATCAGAGGGCAGGCGGGCGCAGAGCAGACGCGTAGACGCGCTATGATCAAAGTCGTTATGAGACACCGATTAGATAAGGGCATGAGATCAAAGCGCTTATCTGCGTCTTTTTGGTCTTCCCCAGCCTTTCGACGCAAACGTGTTCTCCGACCTCTGGCACGCGTCGATGCATTGCGCTCTGCCATGTGCATGCCATATAGTCCCACAGCCGATACGCGCGACGTCCTCGATAGTCCTGCTTTTCTTGCGTCGAGGATGAAAGCTCGACGACCCCCCCTCTCCTTGGCTGAACATCGGCCATAATGCATGCTCGCATGCGTCTATATTACCCTGAATATGGTACCCAAACTCTTTATCACTCGGACATCGCGATTCTCACCTGCAGCCCGCGTCGTTCCGTACAGGATGGTTCCAGCTCCCATACCATACGACGTACCTCGCCCTGTCGTCTCAGAAGTAATCATCAACTTCAGTGAAGATTGTCTTGTCCGCCGTCGAGTGCTTAGCATGCAGAGTGTGGATAGCGTGAGCTGCGAGAGTTCTTGTTATGTGACTGCATCTTGCCGATAACCGATGTACCCTTTCCAGAGCCGAGTCCTACACCTCAATCACAATTCGAATTGCAGCTGGGGAAGCTGGCCAAGAATAGGTGGATTATCGTGAAAACTGCGACAGGAGAGCAGTGTCTCGAACTGAACGAGGTATGTGGGGGATGCGCTTTGATAGAGAGACGGCCGTAGAGACGGCTTATCTCCAATCGTGCAGGCAGCACGATAGTTCGCTGTTCTCAGCCAAGCCTTACCATTTATCACGTCCGACGTTCCAGCACGAGTAATCAACGGCTCACCACCCCGAATAGGTTCCCCGTCTCGCCTTTCCATCTCGTATCGCGGTCACCGCGACACACAGTCCCACCTGTAGACGAGCTGCCCATACATGGTTTATGCCAGGCACGACGCAAGCAGGAAAACACATTTGTAGCTCTCGAGTTTGCACTGCATATACGATGTGCGTTGCATCCGCGGCTCGTTATGTGCGCGGTAGGCTTTCCAATTGACATGCATGAGTGTACGTCTTCTCGCCCATATGTATCGCATTGACACTGACAAACGTGAACATGCCAAGCATTCGCCAATACGCGCAGGCGAGCGAACATTTCGCGAAACGCCCTGCAATCGTGATGCGCGTCGCCGCTAGTGCCAGAGCGTATCTGGCTCCCTACACCCCGCTGTGAGTCCCGATTCTCTCAACGATCGCGTCCATCTTCAATCTACATCTCGGTCTGTTCCAGCATCGTCTCATGCGTCTCGAGCACGCGCCCCTCAAGTTGAAGACCGCCGAGACAGATTTCGTATGTTGGATATCGTAGCGCGCGGTGACTTGTCAGGCTGACGAGCTCGCCAAGCTAGAAACTGTACGCCAGCCAGCGCATTATGCCCGCTCCTCGGTATGCTAATAGGGCGAACCTTGCTCCTAGGTCGTACCCCTGTGCTCTGCCCCCAATCGCATTATAATCTCTGAAGCCGTCAACGCAGGTAATGCCCGGGCTACTATCATGCTAGCAGATATCATTGGGACGCGGAGCTGACACGAAACACCCCGGGACGCTCAAGGTGTTTGGGGCGGAGTTACATGGTGTTCGAGTTGCCGAGGCGAGACATCACGTCGGACGGTGAGTGTGCTGTGGTCTGGACGTAGGTGATAAAGTGTATATAATCGGTCGCAAGCGTTTTGCAATGAAGAGTATGGAGTCAGTGGTGCGAGCTCGGTAGTGTTCGATATGATCCGGAAGATGTATGATCTTAGATTAGCGATACCACGGTGTATCGCTTTACTTCCACGCCGTTTTGTTCAGAATAATGCGAAGGAGCCGGCCCGGCTATCCTGCCTGAATGTCTACCGTCCGAGTCAGACCCGACTTCTGCGTCGATGTTCTTGCCGGACGCGAGTGGGTGGGGTCGCTGGAGACCTGGGAAGAGCGCTATGCAGAGCGTATGATTCTGAGAAGTAGCAGACGCCATCAGTACTATGACAACCAGCGTCGGCGTCGAGACGGAGAGGCAAACTAGCATCACGAATAAATGTCCGCATCTCTTCAGCATTCACAGACGCACGGCGTCTTCTTCTTCAGGTGCCCCGCCATTCTCTCCTCGTCCAGATATGCACTCATCGCCTCCACATCTCCGCCGACCCCGACATCCTCCTTCTGACGCTGCCTTCCTCGTCCGTCTCGCTCGTCGAGTACCGCCTGACCGGTGGAGCGCTCAGTCTTCACTTGTCCAGCCCGAGCCCGCAGGAGGCCACCGAGCAGTACGGCGCGTTCGTAGGTCTGCCGACGTGGCACCCGATGTGGAGCTTCGGCTTCCATTTATGCCGCTGAGGTTGCTTCAGCTTGACCGAGACGCGCGAACAGGTGCGGCGCATGCGCGACACGGACATTTCGCTCGAAGGTGCGTCGCACCCGCACATTGAAGCGTGGGGCAGATAGGGTCACCAGCGATGTGGAATGGCATTAACTTGCATCATGTGGTGAGAGACATCGCGGCAGACCCGGTGTCGTTCCCAGCGGTGCTCGTTGTAGATGGGGTGCGAACCATGGCTGTAGAGACGAATCAGCCGCACACTTCGCGCGAACAAGGAAGGACACCTACGCGCTCTGGTCGACAGGATCAGCAACGTCCCGCGCTCACATGTTCTGGATCATCCCGACGCCGCCGTCAGTGCTGGCGTCTCTGCGGAAGCCGCTGCTCGCGACGACCTCTCCCAGGCCGTAGATGCTCGTCCCGAGCGGGAGCGCAGACGCGAGTTGAATGTACTGGGAACAGAACGCTAGCGGGAAGCCACCGAGGGCAGTGGAGCTGTCTGTCGAGATCATGGGCGAGATGGGCGTGGGGGAAAGAGAAGAGATCCCGGTGTAGAACAGAGACTGTGCATCAGGTTCAGAGCGGCGTGTGATCCAGAAAGCAAACAGGCAAAGCTCATAGTGGAAGACGACTCGGAGGTCAGACCCCAGAGCTGTATTTGTGAATGGAAGTCGGCTTGCCCGGAAGGTCGATGACCAAAGATGAGATAGTGAATTGGGAATTCGCAGCGTCGAAAATTTTCACGTGCAGCCAACCGCGGGTAGGTGCATGCCATCGGAGGAAGTAAATGAATGCTCTCACCTCGGATCAGAATCGTAGGCGGGGCTACGTTTGCAATATCCTGCCCAAACGCATTGCAAGCAGGGACGGCCAGGTTGAGTTGAACAGCCAGCCCAGTGTCTATTTCTTGCAGCGCGCTCTGAATATAGCCTACAGCATGTCAGATTCTGCTGTCATTTCGTACACTGTGCGACTCACTGGGGCAACTAAAGAGCGTGGGCGCCCTGAGTGCAACTGGTGGGAAGGCGCATCACATTGGAGCTTGGACGCTCTCGGCCCAGCACGAGCACGGCCAGCAGAATTCCGGCAAAGACTGCGGACAGCATTGTCAGTCCGAGCTCGAGGGCTCAGAATGAAGTGGGTCGACGGCCGAATCTAAAAGCGAAACGAAGGGCCGGCAGAGTCTTATAAAGCGTCAGCCTGGTCCAGCCATCATAAAGCTGATGCTCTGACATCGAGCGATGTCAGCGTCAAGTGCATACGCACTGCCGTCACAGGTGCAAACGTCTGACATGGCCACACTGGACCCATCTCATCCCGGCCGTGACTCCAGTGGACGCCAAGGCCTGGCCAACACGTCCACGCTGGGCTAATGTTCCCTCAGATGAGCAACAGAAGTACGGTGCCGAGATCGCTAAGCGGACGTCGACCAGTACTGTCTTTGGACGTTGGAGTCGTGGTCCACGTCCAAGCCAGTGCTCACCAATTAAGATTACATACGAAATTTGAGGATATGTATGCATAAGAATTGCGTACAGCGTATACGGACGCCGTAAGTTATGATATGCATAATCTTACGCGTATTTAATTTTAAACAATCATATTTAATCATATGTAATGAGATTCAGGCGGTGTCGGCCTCCGAGGCGAAGGTAGAATACTAAGGTAGCTAAGCATCGAATCACCGACACAGCTGTACATTACTGAACACATTCTCAAGGTGACACACTACATCTGCACGCTCACCTCACCGCCGAAGTGGTCGGGCTCAAAGTACCCCGAAATTTCGTGTAGCATCTGGAAGTCGGGCTTGCCATCGATGCGCAGCGGGAGCGGCCACGGCCCGGACAGGTCGAACAAGAACGCGCCCCCGCCGAGGATGTGCATGTCCGAGACGTGGATCGGGTGCACGTCCTGATGCTCGTACACGGCGCCGACGCTTGCGTGTGAGTCGGTGTGACCGCCTCGCCGGCGCGTCAAAGAGTGGCGGCAGATGCACAGACGCGAGCGGGGGTTTATAGAGAGCGCGGACGCCGTGCTGCCGCTGCCGGAGCTCTTCGTGGACGACGGCATGCTGTGCACGACGCCGGCGTTGTCGGGTGCGATGAGATGTGTCCTGCCGCAGAGCCGATCGAGCTCGCACGCGGCGGGGTCCGTGCGCCCGGTGCTGCAGCTTCCGGACGATGTCCTGCGGCAATGTCAAAGGGGGCGGGTTAAGGCGCAGTCAGTGGGGAGAGGGAGGAAGAGGGACGCACGATGCTGTTCCCGGCCGTCATTGTGAACAGGCTAGCAGCAAACACTTCCCCGCAAGGGACTTCTCCATGAGCTTGGCTCTTGCACGGTCAATTTTAGCCAGTGCAGAGGTAAACTTCGGCCTCTACCTCTTGAGGAACGCCCGTGACGCACTGACATGACCCGCTGTATGTCGACATCCGGAGAATTCCGATGCCCATTACATAAGGGCTGACGCTGTTTCTGTGCTCGGACTCGCAGAGCGCGTTGGTGTGCGATTCTTGAGCGTGCGGGTAGTGCGCGCCGTATCTGAAATCTCGGCCCTTCTGGGGTCCAACATATGTAGCATACAGATTACATACGGGCAGCATAATTTACGATATGCATATGTACGCATATGATATGCCGTGCGTACAAGTAGGAGAATGATTACGGAAACCCCCATAATTAATCTTAAGATATGCTTAATCTGAGATTATAATGGTATGTAATCATAATTTTGGTGAGCACTAGTCCAAGCCGACCGAGCTTGGCGGGAGAGACGTGATTTATCACTTTGTGGCACGGCAATCCCCGAGAACAGCTCTCCGCAGCCAGAGCTCAACCTCCCGCACGCTCAAAAACTTTCTCTCCTCCGAGCGTCAGTATCTTTGTATTCTTGGTCACATATAGCTTCTTAGTTGTACTATGGACGGGTCGAGTGCCCGTATCGTGGCCTCCAGCGCAGCACCCTGCAAGCCGGCCCTCTGCGCGTGCGGTCGCCCTCGGACGACCTCGATGTGGAAGCTCACCCGGGGCCTTGGCCCGAAGAATCAACTGGCGACAGTAGCAGCATTGGTCCTTGGCTAGCAGCACGTTGCCGCTTTTGTACAGTATCGTTCTCAGTTTTTGTTCTTCCGACACTTTCCAACCTTCGAGGCTTCGAGTTGAGTCGCGGAAATGATGCTTGCCCGGTGAGCTCTTGCGTGCAAGACACCACTGATACAACATCTGAGAGTGAGAGATGCCGCGTGTCTATATCTGGTCAGGTGGACACCAGCGAGAACATGTCGTACGACTGCTCCGTCATCAAGCCTCCTGGGTCCGCCTTCGTCTTTAGCGGGATGCCCATCTGCACAGCCGGGCGCATTAGAACCGTGCACCCAGACGGAATTCAATGACAACTGACCAAATAAAATGCGGCCCACAGCACGACGACCATGTTGATGGTGTTGCCGACAATATTGGCGCGTCTGCCCCGGGATGCCGTCAATAGCGTACGTAGTCTTTGACGAGCTCTTCGGTGATGGGTCTGTATACTTGCGCGTACTCTTCCGTCAACAATCCGCTCTTCGGGAGCGTGGCGTATGCGATCCACGCGCGGTGGCCACGAATGCCTGGCGGCACACCGTTGTCAGCCAGAGACTCCGGCCTCGAGCATCAACAACTCACCTATCCCTAGAACCGAAATGAGCCCGCTGCTCCCCATGAACAGTTTCGTCTCCTGTCAGTATGTCGTCCCAAACATCTCATGGCCCGTGAGGACGTGCACGAGGCTTTTGATCGTGCCGACGACCAGCGGCGCTTGCTGTCCATGGCCGAGTACTGGCCCACGATCCTGAGCCCATTCAGATCGTCTTTCGCGGCGACCTGCGCGTAGAACGGTAAAGATGGTTAAATGTTGTTGCCGGGCAAGTGGCGCAGGAGGTGGGGCATGAGCAGCTTCGATGGCGGCGGCGGCTGCTCCAAACGCGCACTGTTGTAGAGCGCTTGCCCGAAGTAGTAGGCGATGGTGGGGGAAGGTGGCAAGGCATGTATAGTGTAGCAGAAGAGGCCGCTGCCCTGAAGCTAGAGCTGGCGCACCCGCTGCTCGTCCTCCCAATCCTTGCATCCCGATCCTCACGACGCGAAGTCGCGTTCGCGACTTCGTACGTCTTCTAGACAGCGATGTCGGCAACCTGCACCGGCGGGTTTACAATGTCGCGTCGCGAGAGCTATCGAATAGCGTAGAAGAGAGAGATGTTCATTTCACGCCCGTGTTCACTCCATACTTGAGGCCACGTTGAGCCAATACATCCGGAGCGACAGCCCGTCATGCGTGGCCGCAGGGGTTTACGGCTGTAGTCCGTGCGAGGATCGGGGAGATAGGGTACTGCAGAAATTGCACTTCTAGTCACAACATGGGGGTCGTTTTTAGAGAAGTCTGCAAGACTGCAGAGTCGAGGCTTCGAGACTCCGATGGATACTAGACATAAAAGACGCCGGGACTGTGATCTGGACTCCCTGTCTCGGTGCAAGAGGAGAAAGCGCGCCTGAGCCGCAGAGCACAATTTGCCAGCAGAAGATGGATCGCACACATCTCTTGATACTTCTCCAATGGTAGAGCAAAGGCGCACCATCAGGATATAACCTGAGAGGCGGGCCCACGAAGGCCGAAGAGGGCGACGACGGGAAGCGATGGACAGGATGACGAAGGCAGAGATGACGGCGGCGATCGCGATAGTGACGATGTCGTCGAGGGTCCACAGGAGAATGACTATGCCCGCGAGGCAGAGGTCGTCTTGGTTTCGAGCGACGCAGGTATCCCTACGACTGTCGCCCCTACGTTCCGCACCACCCGCGGTTCGAAGGGTCCCCGATGCGCAGGCACGTTCTAACGCGGTGTCCAAGGCAACAGATCTCGACGCGTGTACCACGGAGCCACTCCTTGGCGAGGGCATTGAATAGCGCGGTAGTGAGGCTAAGGAAGAGGCCTACGGAGGACACGTTGATCTACTGCACAGCCGCTTGGGGCGCGAATGGCAATGCATGCAGGATACCGTAAATCGTGATGTTGCTTGCCAGGGGTATACAAGACCAGTGTCGTGAAGATAAAGGCTCTGATTTGGAGGCTGATTCGTGGATACGAGCAGCTGATTGGTCGTCTCCAATCTACCTGATTGCAGGAGCTGATGCGCCGCACGACGATGGCGTTGAATTCAAGATCGCGGGAAGTATAATTGTCTCAATTCGCAGAATTAAATGAGCCACAATAGCAGAACAACGTCGCCAATACACGTACAATAAAAATCAGCGTTTCGGCATCTTCCAAATAGCCCTGCGCCCGCCATCGCACGCGGATAATTAGTCTTCAATCCCAGCCTAGCCAGTAAAGCCCGCACTCTAGCAGTTTCGTGAGCAAGCACTTAGCAAATAAACGGGGGACGACAAAATGTCGATCCGCTGTAACTTGAGCTCTTCGCTGAGGAATATTGCTCCATAGTTGTAGGTCGATAGTAGATGAATTGGCCAGGAAGGAGGTCGCGGTAGACGCTGCATCGGGCTAGGTTGCGAAGGTTGAAGGAAGAGCGGCAATGCGAGAGGTATGTCTTGCAGCAGCTTAAGCAGCTTGCGTAGCAGTTTTCTGCAACTTTCTGTTAGGGCAACACGTAGACGGAGCGGATATAGCACGCGGAGCTCACCTAATGAACGCTCATTCGATATCTGCGCCGCGGCGGCCAGACTTGTGATACACGCAGCTTGCAGTTGAAGCTGGAAGACAGATGGCCAAGTATCGAGTGACTGGCTGTTGATAAATTGAAAAAATTTGGAAACATAGTACGTCAGCAAGCATGTTCAGCCAAGCTGAGGCAAGGAACAAGGACGCACTCACTGAATGCCCAGCTCAACAAATCTTCTCAATCAAGAACAATAGCGGGCCTCCACACCAAACCACGAGGACCATGGAACCTGGCCAGGGATCAAGGAGCATGCGAGAAGGTAGATTTCAGAGTGTGGGAGGGAGACCAAGGACCTGATGGACGCAGAGGAAGGAGGTCGGCGCAAGACGCGCTACCGCCAAGACAACGTCTGTCCACCTGAACTTCCATGCCAGCGTTGAGTAAAGCAACAGCGGGCGACAGAACCTGCTTGAAAGATGTCCACTTCAAGCCGCCCCGATGAAGCATGGAGCAAAACTCGCACCTAATCCGCAGCCTTGGAAGGTATATATAATGGCCATTCCGCGCGGGATAGCGGACAAACCGGTGTAGTGCTCTTCACACGCACGTTCTGTGGATCTCATAGTCGAGGCTACGTCGGCTGCCGTTAGTTCCTTCCGGCGTGTGGTCAACGGGTTCGCGTGTTGCGTCAAGCCGTCTCGCAGTTCTTCCGCCTCACATTGACCTTCATCGTCATCTTCTTCAACTCGCTCCGACTGGCTATGGTCTACAAGCTCGCAAATATTCCTGATAAAACCGAAGGGCGCCCCGAAATACACACAGGCGCAAGGAGAATGCTGCCGGTCAGGGTTATTTTCGCTAGCCTCAGAAGCGTATCGTTGGCCTGCCTGAAAACTGCGGCATCGACGATCAGAATGTAGTACTCATTGTAATTTGTTAGCAGCCTAGAGGACGCTGTCAGCACCGTGACAATCAGCCTCGGCGTCGAGAGGGAGAGACACACTAGCTCACGAATAAATGTGCACGTCCCCTCAACGCTCACAGACGTATGGCGTCCTCCTCTCCAGATGCTCCAACATCCTCCCCTCGTCCAAAAATACACTCGGCGCATCCACAGCTCAGATCTGCCTACTCCGACATCCTCCTCCTGATGCCGCCCATCTCGCTCGTCAAGTACTGCCTGATCGACAGCACGCTCGGGCCCCAGGTGCGGCGCATGTGCGACGCGGACATCCCGCTCTAAGGTGCGTCGCGCACGGTTGTCGGGACTTGGGGGCCGATAGAGTCGCCAGTGATGTGGAATGTCATTAACTTGCATCATGCGGTGGGGGGCCTCACGGCCGACCCGGCGTTGTTCTCAGCGGTGCTCGATGTAGATGAGATGCGAACCATGGCTGTAGAGACGAATCAGCCGCACACTTCGCGCGAACATGGAAGGACACCTACACGCCCCGGTCGATATGATCGGCCATATCCCTCGTCCACATCTTTTGGATCATTCCGCCACCGTCGTCGGTGCCGGCGTCTCCTGCTCGCAACGACCTCTCTCAAGCCGTAGATGTTCGTCCCGAGCGGAAGAGCGGACGTGAGTTGAGAATATTGGTCCTAGAACACTAGCGGGGAATCGTTGAGGGCGATGGAATTGTCTGTCAGGATCATACGGTACCAGTGGGCGGGATGGGCGTGGGAGAAAGAGAAGAGATCCGGGTGTCGAACAGGGACTGTGCATTAGTAAGCTGGCGCTACCGTTCTAACTGAGCGTTACGTGGCGCAAACTGAGGAAAACACGTGTAAAGTCGATGACTTGGCCTGGTTTGTATCACTATAGCCTTCTCTGCAGGTGTATCGATTTCGGAAGCCGAAGTAAGCCCCGAATAATGTGGTACTCATCTCATAGTGGCATAGTAAGTTATCACAGTGTACAAACATATATTGCTCCCCCGAGGCGCATTCCCGGGTGTCGACACAGTCTACTCGCAGTCCTAAGTCCTCAGCGACCCCTAAGCATCACCGAAATCTGCGACATACATGTGGTGAGCCAGCACATTGGAGTCTACGGGCCCCGTCCAAGGGGCTCAGCCGGCGACCCTTTCACCGTGCCTACCTAGTCGGCTGCCTCCGCGTGCACCGACAGCGTCTCCCCACCGTTGGCGACAATGCTACGAGCGAGGTCTGCAAGCTTGGTATAGCTTGGCGGGAGCTGCTGAACGGCGAAGTAGGGATTGTCCGGCGCGCATTCGCGGATGCGAAGCACCTGCAGCCGAAGACAAAGCCCGCGAGCGCCATGGGACGTCAGCTTTTACTGGATGGAAGACCTCGCAGCACAGGGTGAGCTCCTCGACAGACCGTAGGAACGATAACAACTGTTCCCAGTCCACGGCATCCCACAGCGATGCCGAGTTCAAAATCACGATGAGCGCGGCTGCCATATCCGCCAGTGGCAGACGACGCAGCAAGCCGACTATAAACGGCTTATGGTCCGTATCGAGAGAGAGAGCTGGAAGAATGTAGAGCTGCGGAAGGATGACTCTAGAGCGGATAGCGGGAGCCGTTCGCGCCAGAGATTGACAATGACACCGAAGTTGGGGTCTCCTCTGCTGGTGTCCATGCACAGAGACCGAAGGGATGGGTCGTCGAGATCGCTCCAGGCGTCGATTTTGGCAGACAGCAGCCCGAGCAGACAGCAGCCCTCGCCGTGCCGGATGTGTCAGCTGGATAGTCGCTTGAAGCCGAGACATGGCGGTGGAAGGCGGATGTGTGATGCGGTAGAGAAAGGGGAAGCCTGCGAGGGCGCTCGCTGAGCAGTCGTAGTCGAGGGAGGTCGACCGTGCCTCGCAGCTCTGGTAGGTAAGTATCGCGAACCTGGCGCCAGTCCGCTTCTCTGCTGATTGTATTCGATAGCACGAGCTCTTCAGGATGCCGCATCAATTGCAGGATAGCAAGGAGCTCATCATAATAGCCATATAAAACTTTCCCACTAGTGTGCACTACCAGGCGGGCGGGAAGTGCATGCACATGTACACGTCGCGATTCTCACTACAGCATGCAGAAATATAGGGGCGTTCCGAAAGTTCGCTTTGGAGGCGCTTCGGACTCGCTTTCACAGGGTGGTAAGCGCAGTTTTTTTCTCGAGAAAACTCAGGAAAAAGCAGCTAAACAAAGCCCCGTTATTCCTCGATTCTACGCCGATGCAAACTGAGGAGAAACTGGTGCAAAACCAGCCAAAATGGTTTAAAACATAGTAAAACTGGCGGAAAACTGAGTTTTGCCTTCGGTTTTTTTCAAGTGAAAACCGGAGAAAGTTGGGGCCTTGTTCAATCAGTTTTTGGCAAATTTTACGCCGGAAAAAAGCGCGCTTACCGCCCAGTGTTTGATGACGAATCGGAGGATGAAACTGAAACTTCGAAGCGGCGCAGTTCCGGGTTCCTGGAGCAACGACTCGGGCTGAATCGTGCTGAAGCGCGTTCGAGGTCCATCGGAGGGACCACCCATGTTTGAAGAATTGTTAGAGGTTACAGGTGTTGCAAATGTTGATGCGCATATCGTAATGTTGTCTCACATCTCTAACATACCTTAACTTCACTACACTTCACTACAGCAGGACCCCTCGAGTAACACATGGTTGTATAGACACAAGAATAATATATTTTATTTGCGCCCTCGCTTGCATTCTTCGCTCTTACTTGCAGACCGTAGACGGACGCGGACAGCGGTGCGGTCTGAATAGCCACGAGGACGATTTCCAATTGAGGCACACTTTGTATTACTATACCGCACTAAAGGCTACTGATGTTGACCAGAAAAGTGATTCAAAAGATTTTTAGACCTTGGGCATCAGCCAAATAGGGCTACTAACATGCCCCAAAAATCCGTATACAGGCGGCCCTTAGGCCTTGTAGAGCGGCCGCTGGCGCAGTACGGGTTATTCCTCTGGTATTCCCCGGATCCAAGCCCGGTTTTAGATGTGGATCGCCTCAGGCATGGGGGGCCCCGAGACCCCATTTTGGATGCGGATTGTCCTCAGGCCCCTTCGCCTAATTTCAGAGGTCCTGTCTACACGCGCTTCAGTCGCGTTTCACTTCGTTCGAAGCGACTCTCGATGCGGCCGTGAATCGGTTTTGCGCGCACATGTGCACTCTGCATGTCTCTATTGGATAAAACCGTGATTTCTGTCAAATGAATCTCAGACAAAAATCAAGTTTCAAAGATCACGAAACCCCGAATCACAAAATTCGCCAGATCTTGACCTCCACAATCTCATCCGTGCAGCTGTTAGTGATGTGCGGGCCGGGCCTCAAAGCCCGCGAGCCCGCCAAGCCCGACCCAAACATCCTGACCCGAGCTAAGCCTGGCAGCGGGCTCAAGCCTGAGGCCGGGCTCGGAGCGTAGTCAAGCCCGAGCCCGGCCCGAAAGCCCAGGCTTGGGTGCACCAAATGTGTTGCCGTTCCCTGGGCTCAAAACATGGTAAGAACGACTTTATATACACATACGAGACAAAATGTTGACTTACCGGACTGGGCGGTCCCTGCTAGTGTGACTAGGCGCAATTGTGCACCACCGCCTGGCATTCGCCGTGGGCGCCCCTTCGCGAACCTTGTCATAACATGGCTTGTGCCGCAGTCGCATGCCCTCTGGAGGCTGCAGTACGGTGGTTACATGCAATAGCAGCCTATCACATACAAATATGCTCACTTTGGTAGCATATAAATACTTGTCCTAAGCTTTGCAAGCCCGGGCTTAAGCCCACGGCTTGGGCCGGGCTCAGGCTCGGGTCGGGCTCAGGGCTCGGGTCGGGCTCAGGGCTCGGCTTGGCGTCGCCACAATCCCAAGCCCGGACTTTGAGCCCAAGCCGGGCCCGCACATCACTAGTAGCTGTGTACGCGGAAAGTGACGGGAAGGGCGGGCGTCTGGGTGGTCGAGTGTACATGTACTTAAGTGGCTGCGCTCAGCCTGAGGTGCTGCCTGCATCCACCACTTTCTCCCCCTTGAGATTTGCGACAATTTGCTTCTGCGAAACACCTTCTCTTCGATAGACCGATGAAGCTCGTTGCCATACTCTCTACCTACGTGGCTCTCGTAGTCGTCGCGCTGAGCAGCATGACAGCTGCTGTTTCTGTCTCAGCTGTACGTCGCACCCCACGCTTTTGCATGCACTCGCTGTTCTCTGACAGATTCCTTCACTTGTAGGGGCCTCAACAGCCTGATAACGAAGTCAGCTCTCTTGCCCTACTTGGTTTCTCCTGTGATCTGATGTTTGCGAATAACTAACTCCAGGGGCCGGTGCCAGACGGCAGCTCTTATGGGATTACGCCGCCGTCTTGGGCTTGATGCGGGTGTCCTGAGGTGTGTTGGGCTTGGCAGATTGTCTTGAGAACTGCCTTGGGCTGGAGGATAGGCTGGTACAGCATGAGCAGACAATTGGATGTTATATATTGATTGGCCTGAAGTGGACTGTTGTATCCCTGCGTACAGTACGCGAAACGACGTGCTTGGAGTCTCGCCGACGCGTTTGCGAGGCGTGGGCACCCTTAAGCGCCATTGCTGCACCAACCCTCTTACCGGCCCAAAGCTAAGCAGTAAATGACCCGCTGCACCACAATCGGGGTGGTCATCCGGTGAATTGGCAGGCAAGCCATTACAATCCAACAGTCTCCGGATTCGAAGTGCAAGATAGCGTCTCTTGTTGTGTGGATGAGCCCAAGGCTCGAGATGCACAAGGGCGATGGCTATACAGGCATGTTAGCGCACACGACACGAGCACGTTTCGACTGATCAGATAGCGACACGACGTACGCATCATCCTTCGAGAAGACCCTGGCCTCGTCCTGACCGGTGTTGTATCCCCATTGAGACCCACGGGAAGACATAAGATCGTACTTTTCGAGTACGTCTTTACTGTCCACGATGCTAGGTACGAAGTACCGGGCATATCTATAGGTATTCCGGTTCGTGCTTACAGGTAGTGCGAACGGCTGACCAATCGAATGGATGAGACGCGCCCTGGCCGTTAGTGTGGAACGCCACGGCTCCAAGCGCCCCAAGCGGCGTATCTGGTCTTCGCTAAGCAGACCATCGCGCAGCAGAACACTGTGGAAGGCAGCCGAGTAGGGAGTGTTGAAGAGCAGCGTCACAATCCACGGCATGCCCTGGACGAGGAGGTGATGTTCGCCAGCAAAGCTCGAGGGGTCGCTGTCTTTTGTAATGCGGAACCGAATCTCACCGGCGAGATCGTGTGCCCAGGGCGGAGGGGCGCGGTAGTAAAAGAAGCTGTGCGTTCCGGGCGGAAATGGCGTGTAGACCTGCAAGTAGTTCCTTCTGTAGCAGTAGTAACTGCGCTTCCACTGAGTACTCTGCGAGCTCGGGTCAACGCTCTCTTGCATGCGCAGCGTGGGGTACTACTCCAAGCCCGGGAATTCTTGAAAACAGCCGCTAGAGAGCCTGTACGGGTCAACCGTTGTGACGATTCGAGCCTCGAGAAGGGCGCGGTTAGTCGGGAAGTTATGTGCAATGCAACGGCACTTACTGGCGCCTTCGATGTCCGCACGCTTTGAGCCAGCCCGTGGACGTTAACGGTCGCGATACGGCGCGTAAACGAATGCGTGGTCCAGATTTGAACCGTAGGATGAGTGTACAACATCGTGACCACACCAATTCGAGTTAGCCAATGCGACAAAGAGATGTCCTTTACGCGTTCCAGTTTTACCTAACCTCGAGTAGCTGTATTGACTTATGATTCGTCTGAGACGCTGACGCCTGAGGGAAGTTCGTCGTTGCGTGAGATTATGTCAAACAATAATGTCGGAGAAAAGGTAGACTCCTCGGCACCAACTTGATGGCTCCTGCTCCGATGGAATTTTTCGGCCGTTGGCGGAGAGACAGTTGATTTCAATGAGGGCGATACTGAATTGCATCCTAGACACAAACTAGTGCATACTTTCGTTTTGACCATGGCTAGCATGGTGTAGCACCATCTGACCCCTAGCTAGCTTTTTTAATCACGCGACTATAGTATGCCTATTCTCGAGCTCGGAATGATCTTCACGGAATCACAGTGAAGCCGTGCGAAAAGTGCACAAGGACCGACACAAGAACGACATGAAATAGGAGGGTCTACACATTTCGCCACATCTCCATATCTGACGTGTCTCGTCCCATAGCAGTACAACATCACAGTGGACGGACAGATATCACTCCCCCGAGGCGCAAGGGCAGGTGTCAGTGCGGGTCGACCCTACTAATGCCCGCTGCGTGCCAGCATCCGGAAATTCCGATGTCCCATTGGGTCGGCGCTGTTCCTGTGCTCGGACTTGCGTCAGAGCGCGTCGGTGTGCAATTCTCGAGCGTGCAGGTGGTGCGCGCCGTATCTGAGTTTGCCGCAGCCAATCCCTGCCCTTCTGTTAGTCTGACATATGCATCATACAGATTACATGCGGGCAGCATAATTTACGATATGTATATGTACGAGGGGGAGAACCATTACGGCGAGCCCCATCGACGGCGGCCCACAGGTGCTCATCGTTGGCGCAGACCACCCTACATACCGATCTTCCTACGGCTAAGCTGGCCCCGAGCCTGATTGTGGCAGGACCCCTGATAATTTCCACATAGGCTGGCCCATCATCCGGACAAATTTGGGCGCTTGAGTACCTGAGGCTGCTCGGCATCCGGACATGGGCCTCTCACGTGATGCGAAAGGCTGGTCCGGGCATCCGGACAAAAGATGTCGAGGTCAGCGAGGCTGGTTGGCATCCGGACAAGAGTGGCGGTGGCCAAGGCGGCGGCCGAGGTGTAGTCTGGTCCGAATCAATGCCATATATCTCTTAGCTTTTGACTCATTTGTATTACCGCTTCCATCCTGCAAGCCTGTGCAGTGCCTGCATTTATAATGGATATTATCGACGCTGAGCCATCCAACCTGGTCTTTGAACCATCTGAGTGGACCGAAATTGAAAAAAAACTCTACAGCTGCTACCTCTGCCACAGTTTTTTTCACGTGCATACACCGAAGCCTTCTCTGTCCCCAGTTTCGTCGCCGCAGGCCTCCCCCCACCGTGCCAGACCCTATGCCCCTCAAAGGCTGAGCTCAGCCAACTGGGACTGCAGCAAATGCGGCTGTTGCTGGAGCAGGCACGGCAGAAAGGCTGTTACAGAATGTTCTCTTGCTTCTGACGAGGTGAATGTGCCGCGCATCAATTACTTCGGCACCACACGCGTAAGTCCTATGAGACCGTTACGAACCAACGACTAAAGGTTTGTTTATGCTCGGAAATATGGCATCGCCATCACGAAATTTATGTCTCACCCGTATGATCCCTTAACTACCCACTGATTATGTTACTACATCTCCAGTCTGGGCATTGTACACGAAATCTGGGGGCAAGAATGCAAGGCACGGCTCCGTTGAGGACTCTACGACAATTGGCGCTGTCTCGCACGTTGTTGTCTGGATCTACATTCCGGGTCATAAGAATATCTTTCGTGAAGCAGTGATGCCTGTCTTCAACACATGCCGGCGGTGGGATCTCCTTTGACCCATCAAATTCCTCACTCTTGAGGCAGTACACCTCAACAGAAAGGCTTGAGGGCCCGGGCAACCATTATTGATGCGAAGGATCTCAAACTTTATATAGAGCTGCGAGATGCAAAACGTCAGCTTGCCGAGGCCATGCGGCTTGCTTGTAAGCGAAAACGACCCGAGGAGGAGACAAGCAAGGCTTAATTTACTTATTCATTTACATTCTATTATAAATATGCTCTCTTGAGTAGAATCCACAACGCTGCGTGTGATACCGCCCCTCCTTGAATATTTATAGCGATTCTCTGGATTTTGGAAAACAAAAAGGTAGGCTAGTCCTGGGATCCGTACAAATTTTGGGCTCACGCGAGGCTGGGGCGCGGATCCGGACAATTTCGACCCAAGATCATCCGGACATGGCTGGCGCGGATTTAGGCTAGCCTACATAGGGAATTATCAGGAGTCCTCGCTGAGGCTACTGTGGCGTCGCGCCTAGCGACGAGAGTAAGCTCCGTACGGGTGCCGCCATCGCCGACGAAATGTGCATGTTATGCCGCCCGCGAGTCTCGATGAACAAGCCTCTTTATCTGTGCATGTCAGGTTCGAGGATGCGGGTGCCGAAGTGCAAGCTGCTTGGCGAGGCCATCAGCGCGGCGGCCTTGCAAGCCGTCAGGGTGTAGCTGCTGACATGTCCGTACGAGGGAGTAGGTGAGAATCGTGGACCACCTGGAGTGGCAGAACTCAACGAGCGGCAAGAGTAAAATATCTAGTCAGGACACGCACAAAAAGTAGCACACTAGCATCCTTGCATCCTTCAATCGTTCATCAAAGACACACTCGACTGCCTGCCCTGCGCGATGCTCATTGCTTCGACGACCCGGAAGACGGCCGTATGATCCCGGGCGCGGTATACGCCCGCAACGGTCTCTGATGTCGTCTAGAGGATATTCACGCGGTCATCGTCGTCGAACGAGCCGTCAGGGCTACATTCTGGTACCAATCTGGAGTCACCGCATCAGTTAGCGAACGACGGGCAAGCTGGAAGAGGGCATACCCGCCGAACGTTCGCATACGCGGGTTTGAGTCGACGAGGGTGATCTACGAGCGGTCAAATCAGCGACGCATGCAGATGAGTACTGGAACGGGGAGACAGATGTCCAGGTATCGTGTGAAGTATGGTTGGTTTTGGACTAGCAGCATAGTAGAGTGGGCCAGCCGACACAAGGGACAACGGCGTGCTCACCAGCTCCTCAATCACGATGATAACAAGTTTATACAAATAATCATGACCATTAAGCCACTTGCATCAAGATCGAAGTGTATGCGAGAGCGCAGCTTCCAGAGTGTCAGAGGGCACAAAACGAGTAGGTGGGCGCAGAGCAGACGCGTAGACGCGCTATGATCAAAGTCGTTATGAGACACCGATTAGATAAGGGCATGAGATCAAAGCGCTTATCTGCGTCTTTTTGGTCTTCCCCAGCCTTTCGATGCAAACGTGTTCTCCGACCTCTGGCACGCTTCGATGCTTTGCGCTCTGCCATGTACATGCCATATAGCCCCACAGACGATACGCGCGACGTCATCGATAGTCCTACTTTTACTGCGTCGAGGATGGAAGGTCGACGACCTCTCCTCTCCTTGGCTGAACATCGGCCACAATGCATGCTCGCATGCGTTTATATTACCCTGAATATGGTGCCCAAACTCTTCATCACTCGGAAGTTGCAATTCTCACCTGCAGCCCGCGTTGTTCCGTACAGGATGGTCCTCGCTCCCATACCATACGATGTACTTCGCCCTGTCGTCTCAGAAGCAGTCATCAACTCCAGTGAAGATGCTACATCTTTCCGATAATAGATGTACCCTTTCCGGAGCCGAGTCCTACACTTCAATCGCAAGTCAAATTGCAACCGGAGAAGCTGGCCAAGAGTTGGTGGATTACCGTGAAAGCAGCGGCAGGAGTGCGGTGTATCGAACTGAACGAGGTACGCAGGGGATGCGCTTTTATAGAGAAACGGCTGTATAGACAGCTCATCTCCAATCATGCAGGCAGCACAATAATTCGCTGTTCCCAGCCAAGTCTTACCATTTATCACGTCCGGCGTTCCAGCACGAGTAATCAACGGCTCACCACCCCGAATAGGTTCCTCGTCTCGCCTTTCCATTCCGTATCACGGTCACCGCGACACATAGTCTCACCTGTAGACGAGCTGTCCATACATGGTTTATGCCAGGCACGATGCAAGCAAGAAAACACGACTTGTAGCTCTCGGGTTTGCATTGCATACACGATTTACGTTGCATCCGCGGCTCGTTATTTGCGCGGTAGGCTTTCCAATTGGCATGCGTGAGTGTACGTCTTCTCACCCATATCTATCGCATTGACTCTGACAAGCGTGAACATGCCAGACATTTGCCGGTACCCGCAGGCGAGCGGACATTTCGCGAAATGTTCTGCATTCGTGATGCGCGTCGCCGCTGGTGCCAGAGCGTATCTGACTCCCTATACTCCCTCTGTGAGTCCCGATTCTCTCAACGATCGCGTCCATCTTCAATCTACATCTCGGTCTGTTCCAGCATCGTCTCATGCGTCTCGAGCACACGCCCCTCAAGTCGAAGGCCGCCGAGACAGATGTTGTACATTGGGCGTTGTAGCGCGCGGTGACTTGTCCGGCTGACGAGCTCACCAAGTTAGAAACTGTACGCCAGCCAGCGCATTCTGCCCGCTCTTCGGTATGCTAACGGGACAAATGTTGCTCCTAAGTCGTTCGCCTATGCTCTGCCCCCAACCGCACCATGATCTCTGAAGTCGCCAACGCAGGCAATGCCGACATGATTGGGACGCGGAGCTAACACAAGACACTCCGGGATGCTTATTGTGTTTGGGGAGGATTTACATGCTGCTCGAGTTGTGGAAGCGAGACATAACGTCGGACGGTGAGTGTGCTGTGGCCTGGACGTAGGTGACAAAGTGTATATTATCGGTCGCAAGCGGTTTGTAATGAAGGGTATGGAGTCGGTGGTAGTGTTCGATATGATCTGGAAGATGTATGACCTTAGATTAGCGATACCACTGTGTATCTCTTTGCTTGCATGCCGTTTTACCCAGGGCCAAGCGAAGGAGCCGGCTCCGGCTGTCGCTTCTCACTGTCTACCGTTTGAGTCAGATCCGGCTTCTGCCTCGACGTCTTTGCCGGACGCGAGTCGGTGAGGGTGCTGGAGACCTGAGAAGAGTGCTATGCAGAGCGCATGATTCTGAGAAGCAGCAGACGTCATCAGTACTGCGACGACTAGCGTCGGCGTCGAGAGGGAAAAACAAACCAGCTCACGAATAAATATGCATGTCTCTTCAGCGTTCACAGACGCACGGCGTCTTCCTCTTCCAGTGCCCCACCATCTTCTCCTCGTCCAGAGATACACTCATCGCCTCCGCAGCTCCGCTGACATCAATATCCTCTTTCTGACGCTGCCATCCTCGTCCGTCTCGCTCGTCGAGTACCGCCTGATCGGCGGAACGCTGCGCCTTCACTTCTTGTTCGGCTCGAGCTCGCAAGAGGCCATCGAGTAGTACGGCGCGCTCATAGACCTACCAACGTGGCATCCGGTGTGGAGCTTCGGCTTCCACTTGTGCCACTAGGGCTACTTCAGCCTGACCGAGACGCGCGAGCAGATGCGGCGCATCTGCGATGCAGACGTCCTGCTCGAAGGCGCATCACGGTTTTTACGGCGCGTGTTGGGGCGTGGGGGCTAATAGGGTCGCCAGTAATGTGGAATAACAATAACTTGCATCATGCGGTGAGAGACTTCACGGTAGACCCAACGTCGCTCCCAGCGGTGCTCGTTGTAGATGTGATACGAGCCATGGCTGTAGAGATAAATTAGCCGTACAATTATTGCCAACAAGGAAGGACACCCACACGGTCTGGTCGATGGGATCAACAATGTCCCGCGCCCATGTCGTCTGGATCATCCCGACGCCGCCGTCAGCGCTGGCGTCTCTACGGAAACCGCTGCTCGCGGCGACCTCTTCAAGGCCGTAGGTGTTCGTCCCGAGTGGGAGAGCAGACGTGAGTCGAAGGCACTGGTCATCAAACACTAGCGGGAAGCCATCGAGGGCGGTGGAGTTGTCCGTCGAGATCATGGGCGGGGTGGGCTTGGGGGAAAGAGAAGAGATTAGGATGTCGAACAGTGGCTATGCATCAGGCTTACAGCGGCGTGTGATCCAGGATGCCAACGGGGAAGGCTCATAGCTGATGACGGGATGAGAGCCGCTTTTGTGAATGGAAGTCGACTTTCCTGGAAGGTCGATTACCAAAAGTGAGACAGCAAATTGAGAATTGGCAGTGCCGAAGATGTTCACATGTGACCTGCCACGGGTAATTACATGCTATTGCAGGAAATAAATCAATGTTCTCACCTCGCACCAGTATCAGAATCATTGGCAACTTCCAGGGCCAGGTTTACAATATCCTGTCCGAACGCGCTATAAGCAGCGCCGGCCAGGTTGAGGTGAGCGGCCGGCCCAGTGTCTATCTGGTGCAGCGCGCTCAGAGCATAGCCTGCAACATGTCACATTCCACTGTCACATTCTATGATAAGCAACTCACCGGGGTAACTCGAGACGTTGAGCGAAAGGGTGCGCTCAGAGTGCGAACTGATGGGGAAGCACATCACGTTGGACCTTGGGCGGCTCTCGGCCCAGCACGAGAACAGCCAGTAGAAACACGGCAGGTACTGCGTACAGCATTTTCAGTGCGAGCTCGAGGGCTCAGAATGAAGTAGATCGAAGGACGAGTCTAAAGGAGAAACGAAGGGCGGCCGAATCTTATAAAGCGCCAGCCTGGTCTAGCTACGACGTCAGCATCGAGTGCATACGTGCTGCTATAACGGGTGCGAATGTCTAACACGGCCACACTGGACCTGATGGCAAAGCAAACCATGACCCATCTCACCTCGGCCAGCCCCCGTGACCCTAGTAGGGCGCCAAGGCCGAAGCGTCCGTGCCGGGATAAAATTTCATCAGGTTGTGCAACAGAACTAGAGTGTTGAGATTGCTGAGGAGGCATCTGCTGTCTGTGAACATGAGAGTCGTGGTCCAAGTCGATCGGGCTCTCCAGGAGGCACGTGATCCGTCACTTTGTGGCGCGGTTATCTCCGAGAAACCGTTTTCGCCATATCCGCGCAGCTTGGTGACTCACTAGCCGCCAGTAGCGGGAGCTCAGCCTCTCGGACGCCCCAAAACATTTTCCTCCTTCGAGCGTAGGTATCTTTGTTTTCTAGGTCAAACATAGCTTACTGATTGTACCGTGGACGGATCAGATGTCCGGAGCGCGGCCATCCTCAGGTTGCGAGCCGGCCCTCTGTCGGCCAGTCACTCCCAGACGACCTCGATGTGGAAATACATCGAGGGCATTGAACTGATATGTACACATGCGACAGTGTCACGAATGCTTCTTGCATAGCCGCACGCTGCCGCTTTTTCGCAGGATCATTCTCTGCTTTTGTTTGTTCCTCTGAAACATTTCAATCTTCGAGCTGAGCTGCTGAAATGATGCTTACCCGGTGAGTTCCCGCATGCGATATATTGCTCATGCAATGTTATAAGCTGCAGGCTCATTGGGATTAGGCCGCAAAAAGGTTCTTGCTGCGATAGTATCAGATATGTGCTGGCAATGTCATTGCAACTAGTCCTAGTCCTTCTCAAGTTAGTAGGTATAGAACTCTACGAAAATGCGTATTCTGATGCTTTTTACGATTTGTCCCATGTGCGTAGTGCTTGTGTGCTTGAGACGGCTCAGGTAACCGTTACTAGGTACGCTGCCTTTATGCGATGCGTTGTACATTGATGGGGCTTCGAGGCATCGCCGAGCAGTGTCGGCGCGTTGGCAACACAATGAACCTGCAAACTCGCATTTACTGAAGCCTAATGGCGACTACCATCTTTTGATGCGCTCACACGTGGGCGATATTGACGGCATCACGCAACTGACCGCAATGACTCCGAAGCTTTGCGGTGCGTCCTTGTCGTCGTTCCGAAATAAGTATCTGGCTCCCCGAGATTCTTGACAGTGCAAATATAGGGTGCTAATAGCTCTATATTTAGCATTTTCATTGCATCTTGCTCCATAGCTTCGGTCCGCGATGGTTTGGGTTTCAGAACTCTCATGTTAAGTCCCGACTGGCGGTCGGGCTCAACTGAGGCTTGATACCAAGATCGCAGTCACAACCATTATTAACATCATGTTACAGACTGGCACTTCTACTAGGTGTCCCTTCACCTTACTTGTGCATGTGCGCACAGAACAACGGTGATGCAGTGTTCGTGGCGACGCGCAACTTGTGCTCTCGGCGGCAGCTTAATCACGAGTACTGCGCCGGTGCTGCGCTCGTGGCTGCGGGGCGCTGCTGGACTGCGCCCCCTGGCATAAAGAGTAAGCTCCGGAGATTGAATGGGTGTATGGACCATCTAAGTGCAACCGGCTGCGTCGAGCATCGCCGGGCGAGTCTATCATGTGGCGCACAACGACAGTTAGACTCTGCCTTGTTACGGGCGCGCCATAAACCGACGAATCGCGGTGAGGTGCGTTTTTCGGGGCACGTAAGTCATCTTGTCGGTAGTTGATACTATTACTGGAGCTATGAGGTTGGATGGTAATGAGAAATCGGTGGAACGGAGTCGCAACAATTCCGTACGGCAGTTCGAAACTAAATTCGCTTGCACTTCTTCCCAATCATGTCTGCGATCGCCTACTAGACTTCAAGAGAAGTATTACGGCAAGAAGCTAGGTAGTGGCGCCGGCCAAGGCTTTGTGCTAACTGTGGGGGTGGGTCCAAGACGGGAACGCATTCCAGCTACCCTATTTTTGGAGCTTGTGAAGCTCATATGCTCTACTCACGCTTATTTACTCATCAAGGTATCTATGATATCCGCGTTCTAATCGGATGTATCATCTAACACATGGCCCTTCTTCGGTGTCCTACTGTCTTGGTGCGTGGCAACAGACTACGGTCAACTGAGCTAATACCGAGACCCGACCTATGAGCCGTACTAGGTCACGGACATGCTGTGGTATATATTCCTCACAGACTGGTTCATTGCTCTGCATCGAACTACCCGCACCGTCTCACTACGGCCAACATGGGTCAGTCATACAGCAATCCACTAGAGCAAGACCTTCAACGAGTGTACGGCTTCTCTCTCTTCTCCCTTCATAATTCACACCCTGACACTGACACCTTTCACATGTATTTAGTCAGATACAGAATTATGTGACATTCTCGCTTGCCTGTGCGTCATTGTGTTGCTGAGCTTCAGGAATACCGGTCAAGCTCACTGCTCTTCTACCAGGCCTCCAAATGTACGAATATATCGTAACATTTGACCAAGAAATCGCTCTGGTGTGGAGGAGAAAGCTTACAGCGACATCGCTGCTGCTGCTAAGCACTCGGTGGATCATGCTTTTGAGTGTGGTTTTCACCACGCTTTTACCAACGGCACCAGCGTGTAAGACTACTTATACTGCCCAACTGGAAATATGATTATACTGACCAGTTTAACCCCACCGTGTTATTTCTCCAGGTGTATCTCCCTCTTTCACACGTCAACTTCTAATAAACCATCACACTCATCATAAGCTGCAAATCGTTCGTCATAGTCAACGACCTGATATATGCGGCAGGTTTCATTTTGCCATCATGTGAGCCCACCTGCCATGCACCGACGGTTCTATAACCTATCTTGTCAGCAGTATTCTCCGCTCTCCGCATATATGCACTCTGGCACGGGTCTAAGATGAAATATCTCTTCTTTGTCATTGTTTTCATGCTCGGACAAATTAATGTTGTAATAAACATTGTGTGTTATACTTCCCTCATCATACAGCTGTAAATTGACCATACTGAATTTCATGTAGTTTGCCTGGACACATAGCATAGCTGTGTATCAAAACACACTCTTGACAGGTCCAACTTGCTTCAGCGTATTCACCTATTCTGCAAGGCTCAACACACCGTGAGTTGTGGGACTTAACAGCGCTCTGTTGTGTGCTGACAACGATAACTTTTCTCAGGCGTACGTCTTTCATATTTCAGGATATACTCGTACATTCAAGTGATACATATTCACGCAGTGCTTGCCCTCACAAGAGCCAGTGCAATGGCCGCCGATATTCTTGTTCTGGTGTTGACATGGGTGAAATCACTCAGGCAGTTCCAAGAGATGCGACGGCTCAGGCTCGGCTCGTCTATTTCTGCTGTACTGCTCCGGGATGGTATGTACCCAATGTTAATCTTACCCGCTTTCCTACAGTGTGACTCATGGGCAGCTAACACAGGCACACTTTATTTTGTGTAAGTTGAATGAACTGTAACAGCTCAATGATCCCCTCTAACACATAATCCTCAAGTGCCCTTCTAGTTCTCAATATCCTGCAGCTCCTGACATTTTCAAACAACACCACTAGTTTTGTGAGTAGATATATGCATCCTTACTCCAGAGTTGGAAGAGTCTCATTATGTGGCTACAGGACACCTTTACGTATATCCTCCTTCAGTCAATGGTAAAATATTTACATATCCAGGGGAGAGCCATGCACACTGACCATACACTGTTATATGCAGCCTCTCGTGTTGACGCAGCGCTTTATTCTCAACCTCCGCCAACTCAATCACACCTCAGCAGGCAGTAACTCAGATGCCCAGCACTTCTCCCGCTTCTCTGTCAATTTTAGAATGCCCTCTGATTTTCTCGGGAACATCGGAGAGCCCTTGGAGCATGGGCAGTCGGAGGTGATGCTAGAAGGTGAAGACGGAGCAGAGGGAAAATTGCAGGACAGACCGCATAAGAATTTATCGCAGCAGGTAGGTGCATCATGATCATCGTCCATGCGCTGGATTAATACAAGGGGAATTGATAATGCTCAGCAGACATCCCAGCTCGCCGCTGGATTGACGGAAGCGCCAGTGAACAGTGCATAAGGCGCGGCAATTACAATGAAATGCAGTGCATCGGATCTTCGTGAAAGCTCGATGAATAGGTGCGCTTTCAGTGTTGGTTAATTCTAAGTACAGGTCTACATATAAATTTCACAGCTACAGAACGATCGAGCTATATCGAGTGCAGGCTGTGAATCGTTGGCTTCTTGACTGTGGCACTCCTTTTTTTTGCTGTATATTTATGATGCCTCGGCCCTTATCGTACCCTCATTCTGGTCCCGCTGGCGTTATCTACATCATACGTTAAATTGAATTAGCTGGTCACCTGTAAAGGGTCCATACAAGATGTGGCATGTCATACCATCGAATCTCTTGGTATCAAGTGTGGTCGGCTGTAAGGTCAACGACCTGCGAGTAGTCTGGCGCTGTCATCTCGGCGGGCGGATGTGGTATTCCAAGTCGCGGTTTGTGATCTACCACTTTGCGGTGCGGGAACTCTGAGGACAGCTTTCTTCTCATATTAACACTTTGCCGCGCCGTACAGTGGCCACGCTATCATCTTGACATTTCATATCTAAGACGCGCACGACTTAATCACGCAACACGAGATTTACCTTCTTCCAGGAATACAGCGTAAAAAAGCGGAGGTGCGTTACTGTACAAGTGGTAAGCGGCTGGCCAACGCAGACCGCAACTTCCGCATGACCTCGCTCGCGGGGACCATGGTTACAATTCCATCGACGGTGGCCTACAAATGCTCGTCGTCGGCGCCGGCCACCATTCATACATGCCGATCTTCCTACGGCCAGGCTGGACACAAGCCTGATTGTGGCGCGCCTAGAGCACCTCGGTACCAGCCATCTCGTCGTGCAGAAGCACGCGTATGCGGGTGACAGCTGGAGAACTCGCTACGATGTCCTGACGCCTCATGCTTTTATTTGTACGTCTTTCTGTTCGAGAGTGTCGAGTGATACTGAGCCCGCCGAATGCAACAGCTAGCGATCTACTGCATTTTCTGTAAGCCATTGCACCGCAGCTTTTGAACGCACGCCGACTCACCACCACATATCCCCCAAATTCTGGCCAGTCCTCCCATCGTCCGAAGAATTACGCCACCAAATGTGCAGGCCACCCACCGTTCACCTCGTTGGCCTGTCCCGCAGACCGGCTCAAGCTCGACCTGAGGCCCTCGATTTCAACGTCTGCTCTCTTTGGGTGCCGTCCACGCAGGCATGCAAGGCGCGGAAAAACAAATGGGACGTCGCTGTCCGGCGCGCGTACGGTGCAGAGCGGACGCTGTGATGCGCCTATTCTCCACAACAGCGACGCACACGACTGCGGGCTCTACTACCTGTCCGTCACGCACGGCGAAGATACTGCACCTGTGCGCCCGTACCCGTCCATGTCCTGCCGACCGCAAATTATGATCGGTGGCGATGCGCCTGTAGATAGCGGCACGTGCCGCAGGATCGTCGATGGCAAGATAAAAGTCAAGTCCGAGGTCGTGTGGCGTCGCGCCTAGCGACGAGGGTAAGCTTCATGCGGGCGCCGTCGTCGTCGCCAAAGTATACGTGCTGTGCCATCCGCGGCTCTTGATAAACAAGCCTCTTTTTGTGCGCGTTAGGTTTGATGATCTGTGGGCCAATCCGCAGGCTGCTCTGCGAGGCTATCAGCGCGGCAGCTTTACGAGGTGTCAGGCTGTAGATTCTGATATCTCTGCGCGGCGAAGTGGATGAGGATTGTGGAGAAGGGGACCACCTGAATTCGCAGAACTCAATGAGTGGCAAGAGATAAACATCTAGTCGGGATACGCACAAAAAGTGGCACGCCAGCATCCTCTGAGTAACCTTGCATCCCCAATCGCTCATCAAATACACACCCGACTACCTGCCCTGCGTGATGCTCATGCTTCGACGACCCAGAAGACGGCCGGGTGATCTCGCGCGCGGTATGCGCCCGCGACGGTCTCTGATGTCGTCTACACGGTGTTCGCGCGATATTCGTTTGCGAACGAGATGCTGGGCCGCATTTGTCTCTGGAGTGACTGCGTTAGTCAGGGAACGACGGCCGAACTGGGAGAGGACGTACCCGCCAAGCGATCGCATGCGCGGGCTTGGGTCAACAAAGATGACCCACAAACGGCTGAATCTGCGACGCGCGCAGCTTAGTGCTGGAACTAGGAGATAGATCTACAAATATTGTGCGACGGATGATTGATTCCGGACTGAAAGCACAGTGGGCTAGCGGGTGTGCTCAGCCAAAGCTGAGACATGGGACAGTGGTGTACTCACTGGCTCCTCAACTTTAGTAGTAACAGATGACTACAACAAACCATGAGCATCGGGGCACTTGCATCAAGACCGAAGCGTATGCGAGAGCGCGGCTTCCAGAGTATCAGAGGGCACAAAACGAGCAGGCGGGCGCGGAGCACGTACCACCATCAAAGTCGTTATCAGCGACTGATTAGATAAGGGCATGGGATGAAGGCGCTTATCTGCGTCTTGCCCGTTTAGCCTTGTCTTCCAGTCGCAGCTTCCTTGTATCTTGGTCTTCCCCAGTCTTTCGACGCAGTTATGTTCTCCGACATCTGATCCGTGTCGATATGTTGCACTCTGCTAGGTACATGCTACAGCCTCACAGCTGATACGCGCGACGTCCTCGACGACCTGCATCCAGGATGGAACTTGAAGGTCGGCTACCTCTCCTCTCCTTGGCTTGAACATCAGCCACAATCAGTAATCGTATACGTGCATGCCATGGTCCTACAGCCGATACGCGTAGCGTTTTTTATAGTCCTACTCGTCCTGCATCCAGGATGGAACGGCGTTCCCGCCTCGGGTTTGTGTTCTGCCAGTGCCACGTCGGACCATCCTGGGCTGCTCCTCTGTCGGGAACGAGCCTCATGTTATTTGATTTTATTTCATCATGTGAGTATTAGGTTCGATGACGCGCACCGGCGCGGCGGTCTTGCTTGTGTGAGTCTTCGAAGCCGAGGGAGGGCTGAAAGGCCCCTGGCGTGAGCTCATATGCGTGCTGCGCGCCCTTCTTTGACTTTTGGTGAGACGTCTATATCAACTCCTCTCCGAAAGCTGGGGCGGTATTTCTGTTGCTTTCAGATCTCTACATATCAACGTGAAGAAGGAGGGGCTCTGTGGGCCGCGCTATGCAGCGATTGCTGTTCCGCGCGCCCCGCATCCGACGCGCTGCATGGTGACGAGAGCACTGAGATCAATACCGGATAGGTGCAGCTGTTCATGCCAAGACTTTGTCTGTGTACTGTTCTTTCGGGCGCCGCTGGCGTGGACATAGAAGTGCTACGACAGCACGAAAGGCCCGCGACGGACGAGAGCAGGCTGATATCAGACATTTGACGTATAAATCCTGCAGCTTGTACATATAAGTAAAAGGCTCTGTGAAGCCGCACTTCTATGATCGTATTGCGCCGTTCGTGATTGGTAAAATTTGGAGAGGGACATAAAGAACGGTAGCGAAATCGTAGCGGATATCAAACACAAGGATAGAAGCGCATTACGATAAGTGTCCGTCCGCTTGAACTTCAACGCTAGCGTTAACCAGAACGGCAGTTGGTGATTACTGACGGCCATACACTCATGGCGTAACGATATATCGAAACCTGCTTGATGGACATCTACTTCGAGCCTCCCTGACGGGCATGGAGCAAAACACGCACCTAATCTGTAGCTATGGAAGGTGCGACTTGAATGGCCATCCCGCGCAACATAGCGGTCAAACTAGCGTCGTCCTCTTCACTCGCACGTTCGGTGGATCGCATAGTTGGGGCAACGTCGGCTTCTGCTCATTCCTCCCGGCGTGTGGTCGACAGGTCCGCATGGTGAGTCAAGCCCTCGGGCGGGAACGACACCGGGTCTGCCGTAAAATACCTCACTGCATGATACAAATTTATTATCCTTCCACATCACTAGCTCCCCTATCAGTCTTTGCGCCTCACATCAGCGAAAACCGCGACGCACCTTCGAGCGGGATGTCCGCATCGCGCATGCGCCGCCCCTGTTCGCCCGTCTTGTTCAGGCTGGAGTAGACTCAGCGGCACATGTGGAAGCCGAAGCCCTACGCCTGCTGCCACGTCGGCGGGTTGTACTGCTCGATGAACTCCTGCGGGCTCGAGCCGAAGAAGTAGAGGTCAAGGTGCCCTGATCAGGCGGTACTCGATGAGCAAAACGGACGAGAAGGTCTGGATCAGAAGGAGGATGTCAGGACTGGCGGAGCTGTAAGGCTAATTAGCTTAGGATGGTGATGGACGGGAAGGCCGTGGCGCACTTGAAGAGGAAGATACCGCGCGTCTGCGAGTGCCTGATACTGGCGTTGTAGCGGTGTTCGGAGTAGATTGAATATGAACCATAGCTGAGAGAAAAATCAGCCACAAACTTCTTGGAAGCAAGGAAGGACGCCAACATGTTCTGGTCAATGGGATCATAACCCGCGCCTACATCGTATAGATCGTCCCAACGCCGCCAGTGCCGATGTCTCTGCGAAAGCCGCTGCTCGTGCGGACCTCTCCGAGGCCGTACATGCTAATCCCGAGCTGAAGCACAATAGTGAGCTGCAAGTATTGGTCTTCAAACATGGGCGGGAAGCCGTGGAGTGCAGTGCAGTTTTCTGCCGAGATCATGGGCGGGATGGGCGTAGTGGGTAAGAAAAAGATCAGGATGCCGAACAGAGGTTGTGAATATTTGAAGAAATTACGGAAGGTGGGATAGTAAGCTGGTTATTCGCAGTTTCGGATATGTTCACACGCAGCCTGTTACAGGGAAGCATAAGCTTGTCGAAGTAAAAGAATTCTCTCACCTCATATTAAAATCATAGGTGACTTACATGACCAACTTGATAATATTCTTCACGAACACGTTCAAGTTGCAAGCAGGGCCGGCCATGTTGAGTTGAGCGGCTAGCCCGGTAGCTATCTCTTACAGCGCGCCCAGAACATAACCTGCAGCATATGAGATTCTGGTACCGATCCCTAGAATGAGTAATTCACCTGCGTAACTCGATACGTCAAGCGAAAGCGTGGGCGCTCTGAATGCGAAAGGATGGAGAAGTACACAACGTTGAAGCTTGGACGGCTCTCGGCCTAGCATGACCGCGGGAAGCAAAGGCCCGGTAACAGACGGCGTCGTCAGCGTGAGCTTGAGGGATCTGAGCGAATTGGGTCGAAAGGCGAGTCTAAACGCGAAACGAACCGGCCTGACATGGTCGCGCTGGACCTGCCGTCGAAGAGACACAGATCTCGGCCAGCCGTGTGACCTCAGCGGGGCGCCAAGGCCAAAGCATCCGTGCCAGACTAAAGCTTCCTCAGGTGCGTAGAAGAAATATACGGCGCTGAGAACGCTAAGCGGGCGTCGGCCGCCTTTGGAGATGGGAGTTGTCGTCCAAGCCGACCGAGCTCTGAAAGGGGCACGTGATTTATTACTTTGTGGCGCGGCAATATCCGAAGGCAGCTCTCACAGTCCGCGCAGCTTAGTCAGCCTCTTGTGCGCTCAAAGACTTTCCCTGCGAGTACCCTTGGACTCAGGCGACCATCAACAAGCACTTACAGTATCCATTACGGAACTTTTGAAGCGGCGCCGAGCAGTTTCGGTGCGCCAGCAGCACAAAGAACTTGTGAGCTCGCGTTCACTGAAATATCGTCGCAGAGCAGCGCGGTGATGTCATAGGCGGGCAGTCAATACTGTGTATCATCGGGTCAGCGCGGCCGATGCTCATCCGGCGGATCATCAGGATAGCGCCTCGAATACAATAATAGTAGCGCCGCGCAACCGGTGGCTTCAGTACGAGTACTTCACTTGCGCTGCGCTCGTGTCGCGAAGGGCCACTCGATTGTGCTCCCGGTGGGCTTGAACAGCCGGCTACAGATTTTGGGTGGACGTATGGACGGTCTAAATGCCATCGGCTACGTCGAGCATGGCTGGGCGACGTCGTATCGCGCACGACATCGGTCGGACTTGGCCTTATCACGAGTGCGTCGTAGATAGAGGAGTCGCGGAGGCGCGCGTGCTCCCGGGGCCGGAAGTCACCCAATCGGCGACTGATATCATAACTGGAGCGATAAGGTTGAGTGGCAGTGAGAAACCGGTGGGACGGAGGAGGCGAAGGCACAGAGTCGCGATGATTCCGCACAGCAGTTCGACATAGGATTCGCCCGCATGCCTTCCCGTTCGTGGGCGCGGTCACCCGCTGGGCCTTAAGAGAGGTGATGTGGCGTACAGTTGAGTTAAGCTAGCCGGGGCACTGTGCCATCAGCTGGAGCGGATCAGATACCTGCGCAGCTTGGATAGCCCGTCTGCGGTGCTCACGCCTGTCGATCTATCAAGATAGCATGATATTTGCATCCGGAGGATGTATCATCTAACACATCACCCCTCCCGGGTGATCTACTATTGTAACAATTAGCATCAATCAACTAGGCTGGCACGAAGCTCTGATCTTGGTATAGATTGCACTGGGTCGCGGACACGCAGTAGTATATATTCCTCACAGACTGGTTCATTGCTCTGCACCACTAACTTTCTCGCATTGAATACCATGGCCCAGCTATACAGCAACCTAGAGCAAGAATTGCAATCACTGTACGGCCCTACTACCTTCTCTATCGAAATTTTCACTCTGCCACTGACACCTTTCATATTTATTTAGTCAGATGCGGAACTATATAGGATACTCGCTTATGTGTACGTTATGGCGTTTCTGGACTCCAAAAACACTAATCAAGTACAATAATCCTCTACCACTACAGGCCTCCAGATTCACGAACTTATCATAACCATTGATCAAGAAATCTCGGTCGTGTGGAGAAGAAAGTTTACAGCCACCTCGCTAATACTGCTGATCACTCGGTGGACCATGCTTTTGAGTTCGCTTTGCATGATCGTGCCGGCAACACCAGCTGCGTGTGAGACTGTTTATGCCGCTCAACTGGAAAGATATATACTGACCTCCACCGTACCATCCTTTTAGGTGTATTCCTATCTCTCTTTCCATAAGCAATTTCTGATAAATTATCGCACTTATTATAAGGTGCAAGCCGGCAATTGTAGTTAATGATCTCTTATATGCAGCAAGTTTAATTCTGGTATCATGTGAGTACACCTGTCATGCACCGAATGTCCTATGACCTATCTTCTGAGCAGTGTTCTCTGCTCTGCGTGTGTATGCACTCTGGCAAGGGTCGAGGATGAAATACCTCTTCTCTGCTATTGTTCTCACACTTGGAGCAGTTCCCGTTGTGACAAACATCGTACGTCTTATCCCTCTCGTCATGCAGCTATAGATTGGTCACACTGATTTTTTTTTTTTTTAGTTTGGATGGATACGCAGTATATATGTGTATCAGTACACGCCCCTGATAGGTCCAAATTGTACCAGCGCGTTCAATTTTTCTCCAACGCTCATCACAACGTGAGTCACAATGTTTAGAAGCGGTCTGTTGTGTTGTATACTGATAACCTGCTTTAGATGTACGTCTTTCATATTCATGCCGACGGCGTTCATACATTTAAGTGATATACATGCATGCAGTGCTCTGTCTCACAAGAAGCAGTGCAATCGCCGCTGATATTGTTGTATTGGTGCTGACGTGGCTGAAATCGTTCAGACAGTTCCGGGAGATGCGGCGGCTCAGGCTGGGTTCGTCCATTTCTTCTGTACTGCTCCGGGACGGTATGTATGCGACGTCAATTTTATTTTCTTCCATACAATGACTCATGGGATATTGACACAGGCACGCTTTATTTTATGTAAGCTAAAGAATTAAAACGGTTAAACAATTCCTTTTAAAATTTAGCCCACAAGTGCCCTTCTAGCCATGAATATACTGCAGCTGCTAACGTTTAGCAACGGCATCAGTATTTTTGTGAGTAGTTATATGCATCTCTACTCTGGATATGTCTGATTTTGCGGCTTTAGGAGAACTATGCATTCTTTCTTCTCCAGTCAATGGTAAAAAGTTTATATATTATGAAGGACACGCTCACTGACTAAACACTGTCATTTACAGCCCCTCGTGATGGTGCAACGCTTTATCCTGAACCTCCGCCAGCTTAACCACGCCACAGGAAGCAGTAACTCAGATGTGAAGCACTTCTCCCGCTTCTCTTTGCATTTCAGAATCCCCTCTGATTGTCTCGGCAACATCGGAGAGCCCCTGGAGCACGGGCAGCCGAAAATGATGCTAGAAGGTGGAGACCTTTCAGCAGAGAGTCTACAGGACCAACCGGACGAGGACCTCTTGCAGCAGGTAGGTAGATCGCGATTATCGCTCATGCGCTGGGGCAATCCAAGAGGAATTGATAATACTCAACAGACATCCCAGCTCGCCGCTGAATTGGCGGGAGCATCAGTGCACGGCGCGTAAGGCGCAACTAACACTGCGCAGATTCTTCGACTACTGAGCGATTAAACTATGACCAATGCCGGTTATGGGCGCCTTGAATGTGGCACTGAGGTGGTCACTCATTTTTTGCTGTGGCCTTTTTCATATCTTTATTCTTATTTTGCTTGGGTTGTCTACATTTTGGCATAAATTATACTAGCTACTATTCACTTACCGGGGGCTCAAGGGTCCGGACACGGCGTTGTACGTCGTACTGTTAAATCTCGTGATAACAAGTACTGTAATTTTATGACCGTAGCGGATGTCACACGTCACACCGGTTTTCAGCCGACACCGCCAATAATTCTTTCTCGATTTATGGCGATTTTGGCGGCTTGTCGGAAAAACTCCTTTTGGGCACTTTCATCCGCTACGGTCGTAAAAGTACAGTATGGCAGCTTATCGAACATGCCAGTTTGGTGCGACTGGCATGCGCAAGGCGATGCGTCAGACACCCAACTCAGAGTTTCACCATCGGAGCTCGGCAATACAGAATTGCTCGCATGACTCCGTCCACTTCGAGCCTTCGACCGGCACCTGTGACCTCGGCAGGCGGCAAATATTCGCGCGAAACCAGGACCACACGACGCAGTGGGGCAGAAATTAAAATGTGAGGCGTTTATGTTGGCAACCAGCGAGTAGTCTGGCGCTGTTTTCGCAGACGGACGTAGTCCGGACACGTGATCCGCGATTATGTGGCGCGGCAATATCCGAGGACAGCTTCGCTTTCCGAGTCATGTCAAGGCTTTGCTGCGCCATACAGAGGTCACGACACGATCTTAGCGCTTCCTATCTAAGCCCTGCACGAATTATATGACATAACGCGTTCCCGCACTCCCGCTTTTGACAAGCGTCACGGTGATATCTAGAGCCAATGCCAATGCTTTTGAGCTCGCCTCTTGTGTCCGTTATGTCACGATTACCTTATCGCCATTAGTTTCACGTTCCCCCGAGCTCTGCACTTCACCATCCTCAACTTGAACGACAACATCACTGCATTTCGCTCTATGCCTGTTCCCCACCTCCAGACTCTGAAGCTCATAGAATGCCAGAGAACTCGGATTTTCACACGATTCTACGATTGATGCAACATCTAGAAGAGCCCATGCTGTCGTACGCAATCGGCAAAGAAATAAACTTGCGTCTAATCTGCAGCCTTAGCACTTGGAAGACGATCCTGTTGTCCCTGCCAACTCGCGCCGCGCAGTGCGGCGCGATGCCAGCACGCAATATTGGGACCTCCGTACGCACGTCATCCACGAGTGCCGGCTGGAGAGCGTGCACCTGCTGTCGCCAGGACGCTTGTGCCGGACGATGTCGCGCGCATAAAGGACACATGCAGCCCGCTGCACGCCATGGGAGGCATGCGAGGCGGGCCAGAGCTCGCCACTGGCAGAGGCGCATGCGACGGCGGCCACCGACGAAGCGGGAATGGTGGCGGAGCTATAGTCGTTCAGGCATGGCTTGCAGACCGCACAGCGCTGGCTCACTGCATCCATATTGTAGGTCTCGACGATACTTACACACCACTGTGGCGTCCGGAGATAAAGACTTATGCGTCGCTCACGCGGTTCTTGCGCTCGCCGAGGAAATGCTTCTCGCGTGCGAGGCAAGCCTGCAACCGGAGAAGCGCACGATTCAAGCGATGAGGCCGCAGTCTCTGTAGCTGTGCATGCTGCATGGCTGGGTACCGTTTTGGCCGTTCTTCGCTGCAGCATCGGCATGCTGCGCTCCCTCATCGCTTCAAGGCTGTATCACTGGCGGCTCTTCGATATGGGCTACCAGTGGCAGATGGGCTGCTACCCTTGCTGCGACAGCTCGGTATGCTCGAAGAGCTCGAGCTGGATAGGGCGTTGCGGTGCCCTGACGAAATCCCACCTGGCGCTCGAGGTCTTCGCGTTATATCCCAACTTCCAGAATTCGGTTGCCCTTTCTACTCTCAAAAGACTCTCAATTTCTATCAAAGACTGAGCCGATGAAGCCCCTCCTCCTACATCGACTCTCCTTTCCGCTGTCGGCCTCAGTGGATCTGCAGGCCTCATGGCTTCCTAGATCTTCCTCGTCCTGCGACAGCTACTATGTAACTGTCACCCTCGTGAAAACGGAAGGCTTCGGCTTTAAGACGCTCTCATTATCTATAACGTTTGAGTCGGGGTAACGTTTCACCTCTGGAACGATCGTCTGGCCACTAACAGGCTGTCATTGTTATGTTCGGGCGAGGATACGCACTTCAGTTGCTCGCTGCGCACACCCCGCAAATTATTCGCGACACCTCCTGTCCAGGAGCTTCCACTTGGACAGATAGAGCGCGCGTTCCTTTTGGAATGGCAGGCAGCGTGACCGGATGATGCGGTGCCGTGGGCGGCTGTCCTGTCGCTCATGCTTTCAATGAGTACTCTCGGCGGAGAATCTCGCAATGCAGTATAAAACTGTTATTTACCTCACGAGCAATGCTCGGCCGTACCGTATCCGGCCTTCCGACACGTGCTTGCTGCGCCCTTCTCTGAAGACGCTCCGGATGCGCGAGCTGCACCATTCGAACCCGGTGCGATGAAGCTTCTCGTCCAAACACGACTATCTCGGCTGCGTCGCCCAGGGACTGGTCAAGCGCAAACATTTCCCTAGCTTCAGAAAAGTCACGGTGGAGGTCGCGCCGGAGGTCGAGAACTTCTATGCAACATATCCCTTTGGCCGTGGAGGTGGACGCGGCTGTGACAAGCCACCTGGTGACGAAAGTAAGTATTTTTGAGCGTGCGGCGTGCCTATACCACCTAGAGGCTAGGAACCCTAAGAAAGTGTGCATCCTGGACCAAACTTCTCGTATGCCCCGTTTGTTCAAGCGATGTTACCTTACTGCCCACATTTCCGTCATGTTACTGGAACTACTCATATGAGCCAAATCTTGCGTTGTGCTTTGTCCGCTGTACAGATTCCGGAATCAACGATATTGGGCCCGTGATTTATATGCTTTACTAATGCTTACTTACTGTGGTTTATATATTAGACGCCCATTTATGATATTAGAGTTTATACCCTTCACTTTCAGCCTTATATCTGTTACTTCTGACAATTTCTCCTGCAACCACATTTTTTCTTCCGTGACTACGACGCTAATATCGTCTCTACTTTTCACGGCTCTCATACAACCCGTGTTCGGGCCGTGGATTACTCTATTTTGCGCACACTCTCACCTTAGAGTTCTTTTCAGATGTCTCAGCCCTTGGCATGGCGTTCAAAGCTGGCATCTCATCGGGCAGAGAATCGTCGAAGGAAGGAAGAGGGGCTACACTATGCATCAATCTTCGGAGACTGGAGATGGTTGGGTGCTCCTCGTGAGTTTCTGTGCACTGGTTGGCCAGCTTGACACGCTTACACTGCGTCGTGAAGGCACACTGAGCTGCACTTTTCCCATCGACCGTCTTCCGGCGGAGGTCGTGGCCGAGATATTTCACTGCTATATTTTCATCGTATACTCTAAAGGAGAAGACTGTGCTGTTCCTCCAAGTCCGTACTGCTGGCTCACCATCAGGCATATCTGCCGTGCCTGGCGGCAGGTCGCGCTGACCTATCCAAGGCTCTCGGGCTACATCTGTCTCACTCGACCAGAGTGTGTCCAGGACCTCCTCGACCGGTCTGGAAGCACACCTCTCCACGTATATGAAAGACGCAGTTTCGTCATGATGCGCGCGGAGCACGCTCGTCATCTGGCATTGACACATTTGGACCGTATTGTCTTGGCACAGTTCAGTCTTCTCCAGCTCGTCCCCGAGACTATCCTTCCCGCCGTGCTATCAAATCCCTCCGACCAACGCAAAATTTCGCCGTTGCGCCATCTCGACCTTTATAATTACCTCTCAGCTGACTCCAGCTCGGTCCCCCTATTCACGTAGTACGAGCTTCCTCATCTGGAAGAGCTCACGTTGGGGTCGTTTGGGTCGTTGGGTCTTAATGCCACCCGACACATCTTGGTGCCCAGTCTTCGATATCTCTGCATATCATGCAGGCTCTATCCATCTGAAATTGATCAATTTGTGGCCATTCTTTGCCGTCTCAGTGGGCTGGAGGTGCTAAAGCTCTGTCGCTTGTTCACGGAAAACGACTCCCTTGCTGCCACCGGTCACCAAGCGATGGCGCATGACCATTCCCAGCAGTCCGCATCTCTTCCGCGTCTTCGCGTGCTGCGCGTTGACGACGTTGACGGCTATATCATAACCAACGTGCTCTCACGCATTATATATCCTGCTTCCACTGCAGTATCGCTCGGCTTTGCGAAGCTTACCAGTCTCGCGCTGTCCGACTACGTCTTGGCCCGTTTTCACACTCGCGCGGATACCTTCAAATCTTTCTCTCTCGTGCAATCGGCGATACAAGTGGGGGCGCCGACGATACGCCTGGCGATCCGATGCTGGACGACACCTCTTACCCTAGACGAGCTGTCTCGCAACTCGTCGATGCCGCCGTCGGCGTGGGCACAGCAGGGTATCGACGAGTCACACTCTGTCTCTTTCGCGTTTGACTGTCCGGAGGCGACCAACGGGTTCGTGGCTGCACTTCTGGCACGCCTGCCCCTGGCCGACGTCGAGACTGCCCTGCTGGCAGAACCCGTCACCTCGGGCGGCGTAAAGTGGCAGAGTGCCTTCGATTCCCTGCCGTCCGTGAAGGTCCTGGGTCTCGAGTATGAGACGTCGGACCCTGTCAACGCGCGACTGCCCTATACTGCTTATTTCGACTACAGTAGTTTCAACGGCCTCTTCCCGAATCTGTCGAGCGTCCGGCAGTGGGAGCGATATCACGAGCGCCCGCGGTGCTTCAACAATTACGTGCCCTGTGATTTACACCTACTTGCGATTCATCTCGTCTCTCGCCGGCGGGATCCAGAGTTGCACATCGAGCACCATCACCTCAGCTTCCATCGCTTCCCAGGCAAGATCTGCTCATGTGGGAGCTATCCAAGAAGACGAATTCGCCCAGCGATTGGACAAGTAGCAGAGGTTACGCGCTCTGCAGGTGTCAAGGAGTGGCTCTCTGCTCGTATGGCACGCTTTCGCATCTTGTTCGGGCACAGAACATGATTTGCGGCGGGAGCTCGTAAGTCAACTCTTCTCATCTATTTGGGTGGGGAACGTGCATTAAATCTATCCCCAGTGTCAGGCTCATCATCATTCACCCAAAATCTGGATATCCTCGCCGAAACTCATTATCGTTGTCACCGCATCTATGCCCCAAGTTTGGAATTGAGTCTGCTTCTTGGTCCTATTCCTTGAATTTCACGTTTGTAGCGACGGGGAGACACAATGTCGTGCTTTTTGAAGATGACACAAGAGGCCCTAGGAGAATATCCAGTCGCCCCCACCGCAACGCGTCGCGGCGTGCGACGCCCGTGCTCTCTGTGAGGATTTTCGGATGTTCTGCGCCCACAAATACCAGCTAAACAACACGTGCGCCATTGCCAAGCAACGGCTGCCGTCGTTACTACAGTCCGTCAAGAAGCTCCGAGCCACTCTGCGCTGTGAGGGGAGACGCCAACAGCGCACACGGAGTGCGGCTAGCCATGGTCAGAACGAACACGCGCGCTTGTTTTTTTAACGTCTGGACTGTAGCCTAAATGCATTGCAACTAAGCTATGTTCGCTGCCTCCGCTAACAACTGGCTGTGAGATCTGAACTGAATATTGGGCGATAATCCCGGAAATGTCCGTCGGAGCGGGAACGGTCGAGCTGCCAAGCCGGTGCCGTGAGGCCGGCCTGTTCTGATCCGACACCCGACGAGAGTTTTCTCGCGCAACCACGAACTCGCTGGCTCAACACCCCTCAAGCGGCATTATCTCGAGTAAGCTCCAGCGCAAGACCGGCGCTGACTGAAACTAGATAACATTCAATCGCGTACGAGACTTTTTTTTTGCCTTTCTCGGATCGCACTGGCTGACTAGGACGAGCAGACAGTGTACTTAGTTAAAGCGCTGAGGTTTGGCTTGCAATGCAGGTGTGGGCTGCGCACTCGCCTGTGCGCAGTCTATATATCTCAGGCTGCAAGTCATCCTCCTATCTTACCGGCTATCCACGAAATCTGGTCGACCACTTCCATACCGCGAGTGTTAACATTCAGAGGCTGGCGGGAAGCATGCGGACGCTCAGGCTGCTAGCAAGTACCTTGAGATTATAATAGCTTTCTTTCCAACTAACAGCGTTCTTCTTAAGACTACAGGCAGGGTTATCACGACTGTCAACCCAGCCAAGCTCACTGGCGACTGTTTTCGAGACTTCTCGGGCTTAAAATTGGCTTCCCTGCGTTTTCAAGACGTTGGTTCGAGCTCTCGAACTTGGCGACGGACGCGCGGTTACTTGGGTCACATCAAGAATGGCCCTAATGGTTACATACCATTTCCGCCGAGGACGCACGGCTTCCTCTACTACCACCCCCCTCCGCCCTGGGCCCACGATCTCGCCGGCGAGATTCGCTTCCGCATTACAAAGGACAGCGACCCCTCCAGCTTTGCTAGCGGGCATGACCTCCTTGCTCAAGGCATGCCGTGGTCTGTGACACTGCTGTTCAACGCTCCTATTTCGGCTTCCTTCCGTAATGTCCTGCTGCGCGACGGTCTGCTTAGCGAAGACCAGACGCGCCGCATGGAGCGCATGGAGCCGTGGCGTTCCAAAATTACGGCCAAGTCTCGTCTCATCCATTCGATTGGACAGCCGTTCGCGCTACCTCTAGGCACGAACAGGAATGCCTGGATGACCACCCGGTACATCGTGCCCGGCATTATAGACGGCAGAGACGTGCTCAAAAGCTTCGATGTTGCCTCCGGCGCTGGGTCTCTATGGGGTTACGACGCCGGTCCGGACGAGACCAGAGTCCTGAAGGATGGTGCGTACGTTGTGCTGCTATATGGTCTGTCGAGGTCTTACTCGTGTTGTGTGCTCTAACACGCTTGTGTAGCTATCGCCATTGTACACTTCGAGCCTTGGGTGCATCCACGCTACAAGAAGAGACGCTGTGTTGCACTGCGAATCCGGCGACTACTGAATTATGATGGCCTACCTGGCAACTTGTTAGATGACCACCCCGGTCACGGTGCTGCCGGCCATTTGCTGCACAGTTTGGGGCCGGTAAGAGGGAAGGTGTGGTACCATGACCTTGATCAAGGGTCAGTTGCGTGGAGGTACTTGCGTCTGCCTCCCGAAGGTGGGACCACGGGCTTGTAAGCCGTCTGTACTGTACACAATTGTTCTGCGTGCAATGACATGTCACAAATGACTTTTTGTAGACCTAAGTTTCATGCACGTTTGTTGTCAACACTCTCAACAGTTAGTTCTCATGCCAGGTCCCTGACTGCTTCCTCAGGCTTCTGCTGGCGAAGCTCAGACACCAACTGATTGTTATCTTATGACCACACAGTTCGGTTCGGTCCAGTGAGAGGGTCCGCACGCGCATCGATCCTGGTGCTTCCAAGTCTACTAATTCTCGTCATCCGCACTGCACTCGATGAATCGCAGCGAACTGCAAGGCCCACAGTGTACTGTACATTATGTCGATTCAGCGCTTATCAAAATTGCTCGTTCCTCTGACTCAGTCCTCCGTCATGGCGCACGACTTCAACGTCGCCCCAGTTAGGTCTTACTCAGCCTTCAAGCTTCAAACTCGGTTTCAAGCCAGGTTAAGATTCGAGATAGACCTCTGATGGCACGGTGATTTCCGACTATGATTGAGCCGCATCACTACATCCTCGTCAGAGCTCCGTTGCACCCTCACGACGTCCGTCACCTTGCCCTTGTTCCGAATACCATTGGTGGCTGCAGTCCAGCTATGTCGCTGGAAAGACTATGTAAAAGACTCCTCGGACGCAATATGGTTGTGGCAAAGACAGACTCCGGAGGTGTTGCTTTCGAAGATATCCCGTCCAGAGCGGTCACAACTTTCTGCGCAAGGCTACGTGGAGAGAACAGAAAGAGCCAGCTTGAAGCCGGTAAGAGCACACGCTAACATACGTGCCACGATCACCTCTCAAATTTCACGGATATGTCGCTATCGCAGAAGCTTCCACCATCTCAACATTTCCTATCAGCAAGCTCGCACCGGAACTCCTCGCCGAGGTCTTCCATTGGTGCATCCTCCACGTCGCCGCCGCGCGCTTCATGAACACCGCGCCATCCTCAACACCGTATTCCTGGCTCGCGATCCGCCATGTCTGCCGCGCCTGGCGTGACGTCGCTCTAACATTTCCCGCACTTTCGACACACATCTGGTTGACTCGTCTCGAGTGTGTCGCTGACATGCTTAGCAGATCGGGTACTCTTCCCCTGCACATACACGACCTCAAACGCTCGTACATAGATCCCGCAGCAGAAGTGAAAATGCTCCACCTGGTACTTTCCCAGTTCGAGCGCGTCGCTCATGCGTCGTTCGTGCTCGTCGAGGAGATATATAGTGGCTACGAGCCAGCTCCATCGAAGGAGCGCGTGATTTGCGCCGTACGGCTGCAGTCTCTGAAGCTGCACATGTGGGATGTCAGTCCTGAGTGGAGGCCATCCTGGCCGCTCTTCGCCGGCTTCGACTTCCCGGCACTACGGGAACTGACGTCTGTGTACGCGAACGTCGGCATGCTTCGCACGCTCGTCGCTCCCAAGCTGTGTCGTCTGCGGCTCTTCAGCTCTGGGCTACGGATGGCACAAGAATTATTGCCCTTGCTCAATCAGCTCGGCGCACTAGAGGAGCTCGAGCTAGATAGGGCGCTGCAGGTCTTCGCAGAGCCCCGCCAGGCCCTGGAGACCGTCCTGTCCTCTCCCAACTCTCCGAATTTGGTCGCTCTTTCTCGCTTGAAAAAACTTTCAGTCAATGATGTTTGCGCCGATACAGTCTTTCTCCTCCTCCATCGACTCTCTTTTCCTCTGTCGGCATCTGTGGAGCTGCAAGCCTCGTGGCTTCCTTACCTTCCTTCCTCCTGTGAGAGCTATGTGGCTATCATCCTCGCCAAAATGGAGGGCCTTTGTTTCCATACACTCTCATTATCCGCAACGGTCAGCTCTGGGATTACTTTTTGCCTGTGGGACGACCATCTGTCCGTTGACGGGCCCCTTTCAAAACTATATTCGGGTGAGGACGCGCACTTCAGCTGCTCGCTGCGCACACCCCGCGGATCATTCATGATTCCTCTCATCCAGGAGCTCCCACCAGCACAGATAGAGTGCGCATTCCTTTCGGAGCAGCCAGTGGGCCTGGATTACGTGCCGTGGGAAGCCGTCCTAACGCTCATGCCTTCAGTGAAGAATCTTGTGGTCCAGTACAAAACTTTCGATTACCTCATGACCAACACTTAGCCGTACCGTATCCGACCTGCGAACACCTGCCCGCCGTGCCCTTCTCTCAGAATGCTCCGGATACGGGAGTTACACCACTGGAGCTCGATGATGTGGGGTTTCTCTCCCGAACTCGTTCACCTGGGCTGTGTCGCGCAGGGATTGGCAAAGCATGCGAACGGCCCTCACGCCGGACAAATGGACGTCTCCCGGGAGATCGAGGACTTCCATGAGACGTATTTCTGCCAGTGCAGAGGTAGTCGTAGCTATCAGCGGCTATTGGGCGTTGAAAGCAGTTTGAGTGCGCCTGTACAATCTAGCAACCGTTGCGCTCGTATCTTGTATTATGCTTCTCGGGTGCCCAATTTATTCAAGCGACGTTAGTTCACTTCTCGTTTTCCTGTCTTGCTGCTAGAACTCGTACAAACCAATCCTCGTTTTGTGCTTTGCGTTGTGTGGGATATACAGTGACAGAATATGACATCTACAAGTCATCCACTGCAATATACATTCGTTCAATTGAAAGCTTGTGGAGCCTTGAGACAATTTAGACGCACAGATAACTGCTAGACCATAAGCCTCCTCAGGCCTCAGGCCTCAGGCTTTATCCGCCATATTACTCTGTCAATACGCGTACCGCTATGTGGGTCATTAGCGTGGGCACGTGACAAACGCGAGCCCTCGTGGAAGCGCCGAATACTTTTTGAACCACAACGGTGACATTGTTTCTGGTTTTCCGCAACCTTCATTCTACTCTGTGCTCAAGACCTCTGTATGTCTCGTACATACACTAGCTACGTATTTTTCTTTGGATGGTTTGGCCCTTGACACTGTTCTCGGAGCTGGCATCTCACTGGGCAGGGATTCGGAGTATAGGTCACGGCGCGAAACCTCGAAAGCAAGAGCAGGAGCGGCATTATGCATTAAGATTTGGGGACTGGGGATGGTCTGGCGATCTGAGTAGGTTTTAATCCGTTTGTGAATAACTGAACACGCTCAGAGCACATCGTGAAGACGCACTACATTTCACCCTTCCAATTGACCGCCTCCCGGCGGAGGTTCTGGCTGAGGCATTCTACTGGTACATCCTCATGGTATACTCTGAAGATAACACCTACGCTATTTATTCAAAACCATACTGCTGGCGGGTGATTAGGCACGTCTGCCGTGTCTGGCGGCGGGTTGCGCTGAGCTTCCCGAAGCTCTCGAGCCACATCTGACTCGGCCGGAATGTGTCAAGGACCTTCTTGACAGATCTGGAAACGTGTTCCTGTATATATATATATATATATATATATATGAGAGACGCGACGCTTATCTGGAGCCCGCGAAGCAAGCTCGTCGACTGGTGCTGGTACATCTGGACCGCATTGTCTCGGCACAGATTGATTTTCCCGAGCCCGTCTCTGAATTTACCTCACCTTCCGTACCAGTTTGAGTCACCGAATCAACGCAAAATTTTATCCATGTGCTGTCTGGTCCTTTCCTGCCACTCGTTTGACTTCACCAGCTTGGTCACGGTGTTTGCGCAGTACGAGTTTCCCTACCTGGAAGAGCTCACATTGGGATCATTAGGACTTACAATCGCCAAATACCTCTTGCTTCCCGGTCTGCGTTATCTCAGCCTGTCATCTTGTCTCTATCCATCCGAAATTGAGCAATTCGGGGCTGCCCTTCGCCCTCTCAGCGGACTCGAGGTGCTGGAGCTTCGTCGCCTATTCAGGGCAGAAGTGGCCCCACCGAAGACCCAGCGAATATGCGTCGTCGCTTGCAGAAATCAACATCTCTCCCGCGTCTGCGTCAGCTATACGTTGACGACGATTTCGGCTATGTCATTGCTGACGTGCTCGAGCACACCCTGTACCCAGCTTCTACCTCAATGTCGTTCGAAGTCACGAGACTCAACGATTCCACGGTATTCATCGTATCTGCACCAACTCCCTGTCCCATCTTCATGCCCAAGATGACGCCTTCAGGTCTCTCTTCTTCGCGCAATCGACGCGACGACAGCCGTCAACCATCAGTTTGGAGATCCACTGCTGGACGGCTCCTCTCGCGCTGTGGAAACATCGAGGTCTTCGTGCTTCCGAGTCCTGCTGCTTTATTACATTCAACTGTATGCAGACAAGCGCAGAGTTCGTCGCCGCGCTTTTCGCACGGCTGCTTCTGACTGATGTGCGGACCGCCCTCCTGACCGAGCCTACCGTCTCAGGGCGCATACGATGGCAGGACGTGTTCAAGCGCCTGCCGTTGGTACGGGCCTTGGGCCTAGAGTATAGCACGTCAGACCCTATCTGCCTGCGCGTCCCTTCCGCCGTTACCTGCTTCGGACGCAACGACGTGCTCTTCCCAGACCTGACCAGCGTGCGGCAGTGGGAAAGCCACTGCGAGCTTCCCCTTTACTTCAATAAGTACCACACGTCCTCGGACCTACACCTCCTTGCGAGCTATCTCGCGTCTCGTCAGCGAGATATACAGTAGAGTTGCATGTCCAGTACCGTATCCTCGGCTTCAGGACTATTCAGGCAGGGTCACCTTCTATGAAGTGAATGCGGCCTCTGATGCTCAGGCTCCTAACAAACGGGGTGCAAGGCTGTCGGTCTGTCGAAGGCCACCTGCTCTTTTTATATCAAAGTGGCCCTCTATTCGCGTCGCAACCCAGCACGTCATTCTTACCCGCAAGGTGGCTCATTGCGCGAGCCCATGTGTACGCATGTCGCACATCTTGGGTCGTGCACGTTGAACAGCCCCCGCCCCCCCCCCAGATTTCACTTGAAGCCTTCGCTCCGCAGCAGATTTGTCGTCATACATTTTAACATCCCAACATCCTGACTCGAGACTCATTTCTTTATCATTCCATCCACCGCCTAGTCTGGAGCTACTTCTTCCTAAGTCGTGCTCCTTACATTTCACTCTTCTCGCAGCTGGAAGACACGCTTTTGTCCCTTCGAAGATGCCACAATGGAAGGATCTCTTTAGCGAGCTTTTCTGAGCACAAAGCTCGTGAATTTCTTGTCGGGTTCCTGCAGCGCGTTGTCGCGGGACTTCCGCAGTAGCATTGCCCGTAGGATCCGCGGTGATTGCCGTGGAGATAAATACCCGTATAGCAACATTGCGCAGCATCGTGGGTTAGCCTGAACTCTCACCTTGGAAGATGCAAGAAGATTGTCACGAACGGATAGCAATGCAAATCAATAGTAGTGGTGCGTATTTTTTCATTGGCTAATACTCAAACAGTAATCTTACGGACGGTTGTCATTTAGTCTCTTTAATCGCGCGGCTCCCTGACGAATTGCTCGCAGAGATATTTTACTGGCATATTCTGGCAACTTGCAACGCCGCCGAGCGCAAGCTGTACCCCGCAAAAGACGATTTCACCTGCCCCGGCGTCAAATATCCATATGTTCCTCCTCCCGCGCCGTATTCGTGGCTCAGGATCCGACACGTTTGCCGCGCATGGCGCGAGGCCGCGCTGACTTACCCAGCGCTGTCGACTCACATCTTCTTAATTCGCCCGGAGTGCGTACAGGACCTGCTCGGCAGGTCCAGAAGTCTTCCCTTGCACATTTACCGGTCGACTTGTACGTCCACACACACTAGTACTCTGACGAAGGACGTGGCCGCGTCATGTAGGCTAGTGTTAGCTTGTTTTGAACGCGTATCTCATGGCAGCCTGCTCTTCTCTGAGGACGTAGTTCCTCCCAGAATGCAGTCTTTGACGAGCGGAGTATCCGTGGCCAAGTCCCTCGAGCTCGACTTTCGAAACTCGTCGAATCTCACCTTCACCTTCCCTTCCAACTTCGAATTTCCCGAACTGCGGCACTTGTCTGCCCATAACAGCGACGTCGCTGCGCTTCGTCCCATGCTTTTACCTCACCTCCGGGTCTTGAGGCTCGTGCAATGCACACTGACACCGGCGGACGAGCTCCTCGCGATCCTACAGCCCATGCAACATCTCGAAGAGCTCGTGCTCTCCAATGTGATTCGTGCAGAGGTAGACTGGCGGCAGATCCATGACACTTATTTGCCAGGGCCGCAGGACATAATCATGCTTCCCCGGCTGCGACGGCTCAGCATAGGCCAAAGCTGTGCCTCCGCGGGTATCCCCTTTCTCTGCCGCATCGCACACCCGCCGTCCACTGCCATCCGTCTTAACTTTAAATGGCTAGCGAGTTGGGAGGGCGAGCATACCGGATGCGACTGCCTTCTCAGGCTGCTGTGGACAAAAATTGAAACCTGGCACGGTCTCGACGGCCCCTCTATCCAGTCTCTGCGTGTGGGCACTAGCAGGGGACATGTCAATTTCTACGTTATCGTCAACCTCTGGCGCGATCGGCTCCCGCTCTCCGCCCTGAAGAACACGCCCCGCGATTCCACGTTTTTCCAGCTGTCTCTCGACACGGACCACAGGGCGTTCATGGCTGGACTGTTACACTGCCTGCCGCTGGCTAACGTGACAGCCGCGCTTATCGTAGACGGGGCGTCGCTGTGGGATGTCATTCGCTGGGACAAGTTGCTGTCGTTCCTGCCATCCGTCGAGGAGCTCACCCTGTATTACGAGCTTGTGACACAGGACGATGGCCGTCTGTCGGAAATTAAGCCCTGCGACGCTCTTACACTTTGCCCACGACTTCAAATGCTCCACATCCGCGAATGCCAGCTGAAAGAGTCGTACTTCGTCTTCAAAAAGCCTGCGGCGGACTGCGTCTCGCTTGCGCAGCTCGCTCGCGGTATTGTCGCTCGTGGCGAAAAGACCTTGACGGTTCACGCTGAGGCGGTCGACGGAGCGGGTGTGGTGAAAGGGCTACCGTCCCTTGGACAGGGCCCACAGACCACTAGGAGGTGGCTTGCCGCAGGTATGTCGCAGATATCGGCGATGCTGGTGCGCCGCTGAGGTCTACGAGTGGGATACATCAATACTTGAGTATGCGCCTCGGCGGAATGATGTTCGTCTGTGCATCGTGGCGACGGACTGCTATGATATAAGATACGCGGGACCTAAAGATATAGAGAACCATATACGTTGTCCATATTACGTTGTCATCATGTATGGTGCCTTATTGATTTTTGGCAACCTTTTCGTACGGCTTCGTGAAGATCATTGCAGATCGCAGATACACGCGAGCAGAAATCAGATGTTTTGCGTAGAAGGATCGTGGGCTCGAGATTTCGTCGAATGGGTGCGTGTTCGCCCTTGCCGTGAACTGAGTGCAGTGCAGTGCCGCGGACAGGTGATTTATCGACATAGCAACGAACAAGCACTGGCGCTTCAGACTTCTCCCACTTCAACTTCGTCCTTCGCGTCCTAGTGCTGGTAAGTGCCTCGTATTCTATTTCGCTGCAAATATTCTCAGCTGTGGAGGATTTATAGCATTTATAGGTACGCTCTGATGACCGGTGCATTCAGTCGAGGGAGCGAAGCTGTCAAACGGGCGGGTCTTGGGTATTCTGGAGGTTTCAGTTCGAAGAAGTGGAAGACAACAGTGACTGCGAGCAAAAGAAAGCAAGGCTGTATTACATACGATGGTGCGTACCTTCTGTAGACTGGACGCACGAGATAAAATCGACCCGTCATGCAGGTCTCCCGATCGGGCGGCTCCCCGACGAACTGCTCGCCGAAGTCTTTCTCTGGTACATACTAGATGTGTCTACCGCTGCTGCGTCCTGGTCGCACACTTTCCTCACCAATCCCGACGTCGAGGGAGAAGAGAAAACTCAGCCCAGTCCAGCGCCGTATTCCTGGTTCACTATTCGACACGTGTGTCACGCTTGGCGACAAGTAGCTTTAACGTATCCGCAACTGTCCACACAAATCTGTCTGACTCGCCCAGAGTGTGTGCAGCACCTGCTCAGCAAGGCAGGGGCGTTGCCCTTATACATCTATGATCCCTGTTACGAGTACACGCATGCCCACTGGGATCGCATTGTCGCATCTCGCGAGCTCCTCCTAGCTCATCTCGACCGCATCTCGCGTGGAAGTCTGCTCTTTACGAATGGCGCAGTTGACTTTGTTCCACAAATACGCACGGCCAACGTCTCTCGTACTTCGTCGCTTAACCTGACATTCCTGCTGAACCATACTTCTTCGGGCTCTCGACGTCCTTCGCTCCGCTTCCCAGAGCTTCAGCAGCTGTTCTCCACCAACTGTGGCCTCAACGCAACCTACCCCATTTCCAAACCGCTATGTCTTCGAAAGTTAAAGCTCGCGGACTGCGGATCCGTCACGGAGAGCGATTTGATCAGCTTTCTCAAGCCTCTGCACGGCCTGGAAGAGCTTGTGCTGGACTGGGTGATCGACTCAAGCGAACACTGGCCTCACATGCACCGAAATCGGCCTCTGATAGACCCACAGCGCACTGTCACCCTGCCTAACCTACGAGCGATTCGCTTCTCTGGGCGGAATGCAGCCGAGGGACTACATTTTCTAAGCTCTATCATTCATCCGCCCACCACTACGCTGCACCTCTCCTTCGTGACCTTGTGGAATAGGAGGCATGACAGCTGTAACTGCTTGCTCTCGTTACTCTCACTGAAGTTAGAACCGTGGCTTCACACAACGGATGCGGCTTTTCAATCCCTCCGCCTGAGCAATTCCTGTATCGGTCAATTCGACCCTCACAAATTCAGTCTACTCTTATGGCGCGACCGCCAACCTGTCTCGACTTTGCAAGACTTCTCGGATAGGCATACTGCCTTCTTCCAATTTGATCTCCAAAATACCATACACCGAGAGTTTTTCGTCGGACTACTACGTCGTCTACCCCTCGCGAGCGTCACGTCTGCGCTACTCCTGGACTGGGCCATCTCTTGGGACATGGTCAATTGGGAGGCGCTGCTCTCCTCGATGCCCGCCCTGGAAGAGCTTGCGCTCTACTACGAGACGATCGACGCCGGTCGCTCTCCACGGTACCAGTTCATACCTCGCGATACGAACTCTCTCTGCCCCGAGCTCAAAGTCGTCCACATCAGTGAGTCGCGGCAGAACAATCCGGCGGAGGCAGACTATATTACTGAGGGCCTGTGCCCGGTCGTCACCCTCTCACACGTCGGACGAGGATTCGTCTCCCGCAGCGGGCGCGAGCAGCAATCCAGTGACGGCCAGCAAGGGCTGGTTGTGCGTTTCGAAGAAGACCCTCGAGCTGCCGCAAGGCACTCCCCTCTGGCGCAACGACGCTCTATCTTCAAGAGATGGGGACTCGCACGTCGCTGATGGGTCATGAGTAAGGCGCATCGTGCCGCCACAGCTCAAGTCTGTACAGTGCTCCCAGGAATTGACGCTGTTGCCCGATTGCATACTGTCCATCTTTTCAACGTGTCTATGATACCGTAATGTTGAGATTTGCATAGCGCAAGGGCAAGGCAGCAAGTATAGATCTACCTCTTGCGCGCTGTGCAATGGCTCCGTGCATGCTTACTTCCTCGTAGATATCAACTTGTCCAGTAATAGCACCCTATTGCATGTGATGCTTCCTGTTTATTTATTCAGATCTGCTTGTGGGATTTTGGTGAAGAATGACATTAGCTCGATTGAAACGACACATGAAATTGAAATGACATATGAAGCTGTGGTAGAGCAGAGCACTGTAGATACCAGCGCAGAAATCCTCTACACAGGAAACCTGTGTCAACACCTCTTCGTTGCCGCTCTGGGCCCTCCGCTGCCGGAGAGATATCGTCCAACGGCTCCATGCCGAGGTCGACGAGATTATGCTCGGCTGGAACGCCAGCCCTGACACAAAGCATTCGTGGCGAATGCGGGCGCCTGAGTAATTTCATTGATAAGTGTAAGTTTCCGCGTTCTGAGCCGATATGCACAATGCTGATTCAGTCCACAGCCTTCCAACTGTACGGTGTCGCGTCGTTGCTACTTCAAGTTGGGCGTCGTGCCCGCTACGGTCCATGAAGTCTACTTTGAGGCCGAATATGCTCATGGGCTCGTGGCATACGTCGCCGTCATGCTCAGCGTCGGCAATTCCGCCCACCACGTATCGCCGGGGCTTCGATATGCTGGGCCACGCGCTCCGGCTGAGTACGATTGTCGTGACACGCGCAGTGCGGGGGTATTTAATCGCCGAACAGCAGCAATTTTCGAAGACGAAAGCACAGAACCTGTGCTCGAATCAGCCTCCGTTTACCCAAACTACTGTCGACTTAACCACCGAAATATCACTCGCATACTTAGCGCCTGTTGTCTAGAGAAAGCGAGTTCAAGCCAGGAGCATTATCATCAGACGGCAGGGAGGCTACATTCGCTACTTGGCCTAGTCGAGTCCAGTGTAGATCGGTCAGCGTATCTGTAGCTGAGCGTCACGTCAGCTGCCAACAGTGCCGATTTCCAGGAGATCGCAAAGAGGGAGAATTCAAGGACCTGGTCCGTGTTGTTCTGTGTCTTGTTTATGTCGCTCCCTCACCAGCTCTCCCCTCTTACCGTGGAACACCCCATATATGGGCGCAGCTCACATGCCGTTTTCATTGGCGGGCCTGCACCTTCGCTATTGCCACCAAAGCAAGCGGCACGCCTACAACCGCCAATAGACTCCTCCGTGTCACCAGCACTTCAGATGAAGGTTGCCTGCCTCACACCGCCATCATTCTTGGGAACATCGCCAACATACCATGTAACACAAGAGCAGCGAGCTTCAGCACTTACTTGTATTAATTTACCCGCATATTGTTGGCTTACAACAGCAGATGGCCTGGAGATGACGCATCGTCCGAGAAAGAGGCGCGATCCGCAACCGCCGGCCGCGCTCCGAGAGTCCGAGTCGCGTTTACGACGCGGTCACGTGTTTATCATATGATTTAAGTAACTATCTCTGACGCCGAGAATCCCGAGATCATGCTGCGCGCTTTGCGGTTGCCATGTCCGGTTCGTCCAAAGCCTTCCACTACGAGAGCGGACATGCGGTTATCGCGTCTTCTTTCCATAGTCTGCTTGCTGATACTGTTGTTGTTGCTGTTTGGGGGGGGGGGGGCGGTCAGCAGGCGCAGATGCATGGTGGCTGGTGAATGCTGCGGGAGTTTCTTAGTCTCTACATGCCTCAACCGTATGCCCTTGCCTGCCCTTCGCCTCATCCACCTGACGGTAACTAGCCATCATGCACAACAGTCTAGACGAAGGTGTGTGGCATGATCTCGCTCGTGATCCTGTCTTCACCCGTTTCCTCTCGGTAGCCTCGAGGCCTGAACACCTGGGCTCCGCCTTTGCTCTCAACTCCACATTCCAGCCCAGCCCAGGGTTGCATGTTGCTGAATATTCTTTCAAGCGCGAAAACCATATCTTTGGTTGCTCACTGCGGGCCTATCTGTCCCTCGGACGCTGCAACAATCTTGCAACTCTTCACCAGTGGCGGCATAGTGGGTGGCGGCGCTATGGCGCGAGTGCAAGCGGAGACTGTCAGCTCTCAGGATGATAGTACGTCCTCCGCCCCCGTGTGTGGTGTCTGTTAAATAGCGCTGACTTCTTCGATACAGCGTCGTCGTCGTCGATGCCCTTCTCGAACGGTAGTGGACGCTCTTCGCGGTCGTCGCCCTCTCGCAAATTACCCGCGAACGAGCGAGCTGCTTTTTAGCAAGCACGGATACCAGTATGTCACTAGATCTCGCAGATGCTCCCCGGATTAAGGCTCACAGTTTTGTTTATCACAGGACCCGACTTGTCCATCGTCAGATGCATGGTTAAGTGACTCACTTAGAGCGAAGGTGTGCCGTCCCGTCATTGACAGTGCTCTTTCTGGAGATTCGCGAAACTAATCTGTGCCGACAATCTAGAGCGTGCGACATAAACATTTGTGTAGGAAGCTCGCGATGATCCGTGACTTTGCCCTGGTTTCGCCAACGTTCGATCATTCGAGCACTTATTCATTGAACTCCTGAATCTCCCCTGTTATCTGTTTCTGTATGGCTCCCTATCATGCGCCTTCTTGCCTTCCTTGTCTCGAAAGTTCATCGTATCCCTTGTCATCGTCACCCTCGGCCCTCCCGCACTCTTGGCCACCCTTCGGCGCCTTTCCATATCACTGCCAAAGCTGGATGATCATCGTACGGATTCGTGGAGCCCGGAAGTTCCAAAATAAAACGCCTGCAAGAGAGGAACTCCGGTATCGTCGTCCTCGTGCTGGACATGTTTCCGGTGTCACCTGTGCACCAAAACTCCTACTATCAGAGTCGATGCCGTTGGAGACATCTTCACCTGGATTGATGTGAGAAATGCCGACAGGAAATGTCGGTGGGATGTGCTTCCCCGGAGGCGACAGGCAGGACGGCTGTTTATATACTGGAGTGACCTACAGTGAAATTGTCTTACGGCCAGTGCAGAAGATTTTGCCAAATACCAAATCAGCGAAATTCACGCTCAACTTGGATAGTAGGAGTCTAATCGCACATGGTATCTATCAGACTACGACACTGCCCAGGCCTAGAACTCTGCTTCTCATAATGTTTCTAATAGAAGGACTTGAAGCGTCGTTACCGAAAGGTACGAGGCTAGGGAAGTGATCATCGCTAGTAAGATGCTTTCTTTTCGCAAAATTGGAGCGTACGCTCAAATGTGCTGTGCTGTTTGCTTGATAGGACCGTACAGCCTTCGAACGTCGCAGATACAAGCTGCGTCGTTAGGTAGTGGCCTGTATCTTACTCTCATCCTCCACTGTCCCTTTGTGGCCCTAGACATGCTCTTTGCACCTTTTTCTCGAGGCTACTCAGTGGTAGTCTTCATTTACATCTTCATTTACTTCATCTCCGCCTCCAGGGCACTCACCAACGTCACTGTCGATGATCAGGGCGCAGACCCCACGTCAACGTATGGCATGTCATACACATTCGGCTGGAGCACTGGGCAGACGTGCTCGGGCTGTCAGGCCCAGCCAAATCCTGCGAAAGCTCACAACGGCACCTGGCACGACACGACGTATGATCCATCAATAGAGGGTCGGAACACGCCGCAAAACGCGACGTTCGACTTCACTGGTGTGTCTTGTGTACCCCCATGCGTCCCGAGCCGACGCTGATTGCCTGATAGGATCCGCCATATATGTCTACGGCATTCTCTCGCACTCAAAGACGTCTCCTATCAGCAGTGCCGACATCTCGTTCTTCATCGACAGAGTCAAAAAGGGAAACTTCACATTCACACCAACCAGCTCCAAAAGCGCATATACATATAGTCAACTGCTCTTCGCTGCCGAGGGTCTCGATGAAGCATCACATGCATTTATGCTGCAAAACGGGCGTATAGGTGGACCAATCAGCCTGGTATTGCTGGATTATTTGGTATATTCCAAGTGAGCACGCCATTCCAAGACATGATTTGGGTCTAATGCTGATAATACTAGGGACAATGGTAGTAGTTCTACTCAAACGTCAGTCCTATTCCCGATACATCCACTGCACCTGAGCCAAGCAGCTCTTCTAGTGCCTCTGGTACCATTCCGTCTATAATCGTCCCTTCCAGCTCAGACGCACTAACCAACGGCACGCATCAGTCTAGTCCGCCAGCCTCTCATCGTTCGTCCACAAGTCCCGTCGGAAGTTCTGGTTCGAACTCTTCTCTCGGAGACACCAAGCTTACATCGACCAACATCTCTTCCGTAGCGTCTCCCTCCATGACAAACAACACGGTTACACCAAATCATACTCATGGTCTTTCGGGCGCAATGCGTACCATTGTGATTTGCCTCACGACTGCTGTACCCCTCGTTATACTTGTTCTCATCGTGCTCGCACGCAAGGCTCATCGACACCGACACGCCGCCGGTGGTTTTCCTCACCGTATTGCTCTTCCCAACGAAACCTCCGAATATCTCGGGCGTCTCGCAACGGTCGGCCAGGCAGAGTCACCGCCCTACTGGGAATCCGCGCCAAGCTACTCCTCAGCGTCCTATCGCGCAAAGCGGGCGAGTACGCTCCAAGAGGCGCCCCGTGCACACGCATCAGAAAAGGCGGCATACGCCCCAGCTGAAGGGACTGACGCGCCATCTTCACGGAGGGGACAGGACATGGCTGCTGATGACGCGGGCGAAAGAGAGGGATATGTGAGGTCGGAAATAGCAGAGAGCGTGCACCCCGGTAGCAGTCTTGCGGCAATGACTGCTCCACCGATGTACGAGAGTGAGGCTGGGGCCGCACCGATGTACGAGAGTGAGGTTGGGGCTGTACTGATGTACGAGAATGAATAGGTATCCCCGCACCTCCTAACTGCGTCGTCTCTTGAAGAACAGACCTTATATGAGAAGTGTGGCCGTTATCATTCATGGGCCTGTTCTAAAGAGACTAGGAAGTGAGGATGTCCACAAGCTCATAGAAGGACATTTACGTGAGTGAGAGTTTGATTTCTATGTGTATACGTCTACATGATATATTATACCCGGAAAAGATTGGGGCATCGCTTCTACAGAACTGTACATCGGGCGTATAAATAAAAATCGAAGCTGAGTGCAAAGTACCAAGTACATCCTTCAAACAACACATGATAATTTTCAGCGCATTTATATATTCTCATCGACCCCTCTAGAATACGGCGGTGGCAGCGATTCGGCATACTCTGTCTGTGCAATATCCGAATGCGCGGTAAGCGAAGGGTTACGGGTGAGATGTGACGATTGGTTGGAAGGGAATGCTTGCATGCGCAGCTTGTCTGGTAGATATCCGCCCGAGGAGGCATTAGGCAAGAACGAGGAGGTTATGAAAGAGGTCGACGAGGGATTACCAGGCCGCGCCAAGTGCAGCAGAGGTGAATGCGTCTCAGGCGAAGATGTCGTCCCGCTGCGAGAACGCGCACCTACAACGACAGAACCGCGGCTGTCGTGTGCGCGCAGATTGGCTGCTGATAGAGGCTGTGAAAGCAGGTCGACCTCAGGAGTACGAGAAGCGCGGAACCAGTTGCGACGGCGACGACGGCGCCGCCACAACAGAGCTAGCACGAGGAGTATTATGAGAGCAATCGCGCCGAGCGTAGCTGGTAAGACCTTGACTAGTGCGCTCGAACTTGATGCTGGACGTTCCGTTGAAGTCGGAGGAGGGATAGTAGGGGATGTCATTGATAGAGATGCCGCCGCCGCCGACGTAGTCACCGTAGCGTCCTCTTGTTCACTGAACACGGCGAAGTAAGGGCGTGGGTTGGCAAATAGTAGGAACCTGCTCACGTTGAATATACAAGATAGTCAAAAAGGACAATCGACGCAGGCCCGCCGTCAAGACCATTCTGTAACACAAAGGTATGCGGACCGTGTGGAAGTGAACGATTCGAATACAGAGTAACATTATACTTGAATGCCGCAGGGTTCGATCCATTTCCAGCCGGCGTGTTGTTGAATGTTCCCACGAGCTGGTCATCGATGAAGAATCCGAGGTGGGTCGAGCTTGTATCTCCAAATGGTATCAATGGCGATGTCACTATCACTCCGTACACGTATATCGCTGAACCTGTGCCGGAAGATGAATGAATCGTCGAAGACGCACTCGACGGACGAATATCTTACCATTAAAACCAAGAGTTGCGCTCTGGAGTTCTGTTCGTGGCCCGTTGGACCCGTCGTACGTGGCATCATGCCAGCTGCCCATATGAAGCTGTGACCGGTTGAGCTGTGCCACGCATTCGGTGCAGTTTGGTCCAAAATTCCAGTCGGATAGTGGCGAGTAAGAGAATCCAAGTCCTGTGAGCCGGTCGGTGCCTGCATCGTCTACGGTTACGTTAATCAACACGGCATTTGTAACAAAGGCAGCGATTAGCAACGTCAACAATATGTATTTCATGAGTGGCATGAGCGGGGCTACAACACAGAATAAGCGAACAAGGTGGGAGAGGCCAGCTCGAGCAGCAAGATGATACGGGTTGCCACTGCCAGGACGTCCTCGGAAACCAAGACATTCCTCAGCATCCTTTATATGGCCGACGGCAGCAGAGGAGATTCACAGCCCCCGGTATGGTTGCCACGCTGAATGACCAGCCTGCAACTACGCATCTCAGCATGCACCCTGATCGCAACATGCAAGAGACGAGGCCTCTACAAGACACCAGCAGGTGCGTAGTGCTCAGGTTTTCACCTTATGGGTCGTCGATAATGCCGTGGACGTTGTCGATAGGAGGTCGGTGATTCGTGGTAGGTGTAGCCTGAGGATATGACCGCAAATGGCTGGATGCGATGATTGAGACACAGCCTACCCAACAAACTTAGCGTTAATAGCGAACTATACTATAGTTTAGCAGTCTTATCAACCTAACAGCTTCGGAATAAACTTACCATATTCATATTCTGCCACACTCAATCTCAGAGGATCTAATGCAGAACTCCATCGTTACCACCATTATATAAACCCGCAAAGACCTAAGCTCTCCGGCGGCTTACTCCAAAATAGTGCACGAGTGAGGTAGTGTAACCCCAAGTGTACTTGATGTGAGGCACTTTTCCTGGCAGGACCTACGGTCTGGGGAGAGCCTGAGGCTCGAAGTTCAGACTCGCCGGAGCTCCTGACCACTTACTAACGCTGGGATTGCCGTAAACCAGGACAGTACAAAGTTGATTAACAATTTCGCATCTAATTAGGAATAATTTGAGTGCCCTCGCAGATAGAAGACGGTGTGAGAGCATGAAATGAGCTGGCGGCCTATGACTCGGAGGGCGCATCACAAACGCGGCGCATCAAAGCTGTGGCGTCGAAATAGACGCGCTTTCGTTTTGAAGCTCTCGGGCTGCCACTACCAGCAGGTCGACCATGTCTGCGCAGGCACTGCCCGAGGAGCTCCTCGAGCTTATACTACACCATATCGACGATAAATCACAACTTTCGTGCTGCTCCCTCGTCTGCCGCGTCTGGTTGTTCCCGAGCTCCCGACTCCTCTTCCGCAAACTTGAACTGAACGTGCAGCCTCAGCCCGAGTCACCGGATACAGCATGCCACAATTGGCACGACTACTTGAAAGCGATGAAAGCCTCTGCGCGCATACAACACTGCGTCAGGAAGCTGTCCTTCTACTCCTCAAAGGGCAAATGGCCAGTATGGCCCGCGTCGATTCTGCTTGAGACGCTTCGAACGCTCCCCAACTTGAAATCCATTACTCTGGCACGTCTCAACTTTAGCTTCGATGATGACATATCTCCTTCTCCGTTGGTTTCACATTGGCTGGAAGATGGGCTCTCCCTCGACACGGTTGAGCTGCGCGATATCTCCAGTTTGGGCACCTACCATGGCCAAGCTGCAGAGAGCGGAGCGTCCGAAAGCATGGGACTCGCCGCGATCCTCGGCCTGTTTACGAGCATCAGGTTCCTCTCGATCCGCTATACTATGCTTCCACGCAGATATCCTGCTACCTGGCATGGTTTCGCACCGATCCCACTTCCACGCCAAACACCGCTCAAACTCGAAGAGTTGCACTTGAAGGGAGAATTGGGTGCAAAGATGCTGGGGGCGCTGAAAGAGATGGTGGACTCACATCACCTGCGCGTGCTCTTCGTCGAGCTGAGTGCGCCGGTGCTATCGCTCGCAGATGAGTTCGTTAGGCGCATGACGGCGCTGCAAACCGTCCGTTTTGCGATACGGGGGGATCTCATGGAAATGCGTACGTTGTCTATATCGTCTCTCTCCTTGTTGTCCTCTCTGATATTTTGGCTTCCTAGGGCTAGCTATCCTGGTGAACCTGTCCGCATGCGCCGAACTGAAATCGATATGCATTTGTCCTTTTCGATACTACCCTTACAATCAAGTAGAGGCAACCAATGTGTACATAGGGTGCACGGTTGTGTCCATACTCTCGACGGCACCTCCTTCAGTTCGGTGGATTCGTCTCTACCTCGATACGGTCGTTATATACCCCAGCTTAACCGTGCTGCGACAAGTCGATTGGACATCATTTAGCAGGAGTCTCGAACGATTATCTCAGCTGGAGGTCCTTGAGCTGAGTCCATGGCTCAGTTCTCGTTGGACGAACGATATGATAGAGGTAGTAAAGGGGGAACTATCGCCTGCGACACGACAAGCACTGCAGTTCACGTAAGGGACTCGCTCTTCATTAGAGACGTTAATTGAAGTACAGCTATCTGTGGTATACTTCGTAATGTGCTATACGCAAACTCATAATGCAACAATGGCTATGGTACAAGGACATCCAGGAGCCTGCGGGGGAAACCAACGCGCTGCGCCGCCTCAGCGTCCGGGAGTTGAGACTTGATATCACGCCTCCCGCACAAGTTCAACTTGAGTGGAAGTGTCGTGGAGGAGAACCAGATATCGCTGGTGGCTAGCGGACTGGCAGTCGCCACACTGCCCAAGCTTCAAGCGAATTACAGTCCCCTCAGAGTTAGCCATACTTCAGCTAGCAACCTTGCAGCAACATGCAGATGGCACAGATTCTTCCAAATGCACGGTGTATGCAATATCAATATTCTTGATTCAGACTCATGCTTTGGAAAGACGACCTAGATTAATCTCGAGCGTCGGACAACGATAACTACTCCGCTGGCCAATCTCGGCCAGGTCCTCTGCACTCAGATTTCCCTACTGCTAGCTGTCTTTTCGAGCTCCTCGTCCGAGTATTCGAACGGTTCACTCCCCCATGTACACAAGGTATGCCTTAAAATAGAGAGAAACTAGGCCCCGAGCTACGACTCGAGATTCAGCTATGCACGCGTCCATCAAAATCGCGTTACCGTATCGTGCAACGTCTTCTTGTGCCGTGCGCAGAACGGTCGAGAACGCGATGCAGCTGTGCATCGCACGGCAACGGCCTGCGCAGATCGGCGACGGTCTGACCCTCCCAGCGACCGGCAATCTCACATGTGACACCGCTCTCCTCGGCTACAAGGAGAATGAAATTTAGGCTCGCATCTCTTGCCAGTCACAAGTTTGAAAGCGAAAGCCGACTGACGGCTGGCCCGAAGATCCCGGACCTAACGAGGAAAAATACAAATTATCACTAGTAACAGTCGGCAAACAACAACGAAAAAGATACAGTAGAAATCGTCCAAACCAATACACGGTATCAAAAGTAACACTATTGAGAGTACACACAACACAAAAAACACGTACGAGTCCGTCTACGGCTGATCATCAATAAATATCCTGTCGACGGCCTTCCAGCTCTCAGCTGTGCGCGCGCCGGCCTTCTCCTTGTATACCCGCTCGCGTTCGACCCAATACTCGAGCTTGTTTTCGACGCGCGCGGGCGCCCAGACGCGCTCGCCCGTGTCCGGCTCCGTCTGTGCGGAGAACCAGCGCGGGCGGTGTGGCGGCGCGCGGCCGTCCTCGCGCGCCTTGCGCGTCGCCCGCTGGAACTCTTCCTGCTTCTGCTTCAGCTCGTTCGCGCGCTCGTACTTGCCGAGTTCGAACGCGCGTTGGTCCGGGCGGAGCCGGCAGTCCGTCGGACACAGGTACGGCTTGAGCGTGTCCTCGGGGCAGTCGTTCAGCGTGATCGCGAACGGCGTGAGGTTGAACGGCGCGCGGGGCTTCTCTGAGTTGCGCCAGAGGAGGATGTACTCGGGCATCGAAGAGGCGGTGTGCGCGGAGAGGTCTGGAGGCAGGTGTCCGACGCCGGCGCCTACGGCTCTGGCGACGAGCTGGCTGTTCCAGCGACCCGCGATCTCGTACGTGACGTCGCCGTCCTTGTCCGCAACGTAGCCACTAATTTCATACGCGTCCTTACCGCGCCAGCCACGTGGTTTAAAGGTCAAGACACATTGGTCTCCGGTACGATGGTTGGTTATCTGCAAAAAGAGGATGATGAGGCGACGTCCCCGAATTACAGACGTAAACATACCACCATGTCCCCGTAATGATCGATGGTCGGTGACCCAAGAATAAAACCCGAAACATTCGTCGTGACCTTCTTCCAGCTGAAATGCTCGACGCTACGGCCCTCGAGGACTGCGCTCTCCGCCTTCGGATAGTCCGGCACCCATTCCTCGGGCAGCAAGAGGTCCGCATGCGCGACACCAGTCGGACGAATCTCAAACGACTTGCCGAGGAACTTGTTCTGCGCATCGACCTCTCCGTAGTACCGCCACATGGGCGACTCTGCCCAGCATGCTGATATCGGCGGGTGGTGGCTAACCTGCTCGGAGACGTAGCGGTACTTCTTGTCGAGCCTAACGTACTCAAAAGTCTCGCTCTGCAGTGCAGCTTGAGAATCGTGGGCGTGACCAGACAGTACGAAGAGGAAGCTTACCAGCATGGGGTTGAACGGCTTGGCGATACGCCCGATCGTCGAGGAGTAATTTGACATGGCGAAGGCAGCCACGAACGCGATGCGCCGGTGAGGGTCTTTCTCAGCCGCAGCCGCGTCCAAGCACTCCGAGAACTCCATGTCCTCCGCCTGTGAGATGCACTGCGTCAGCACCAATGCGCCCCCAAAAACCTAAACGCGCGCACTCACCATCCGCTGCAGCATGCTCGTCGGCTCGTTGAAGAACACCGGGAACGAGATCCTCGTCAGGTCCTTGCCGATGCTGTTCTTGAGGACGGCCCAGAGGCTCATCGGCGGCCGGTCGTCGCTCGAGATCGCGAGGCGCGGCCGGAGGCGCTCGTAGCCCGTGTACTGCGCGCGGTCGATCGGCGGCGGGAGCGGCTCCGTGCGCCTGCCCGCGAGCTGGTCGGTGATCACCAGGTTCGGGAGGTTGTTCGCCTCGATCGCGTCGAAGAACTCGTCCTCCTCGTCCGTGTCGACCTCGTCTTCGTCCTCCTCTGCCGTCGGGGACGTCGTGCCCGCGACCAGGCTCCGCGGACGCGACGCAGAGGGCGAGAGGAGCATGCCAGGCGCGGCCGCCGCCCCCGGTCGTCGGCCGAACGACCTGCGGCGGATGGCCATGGCGGAGGCCGTCGGCGTCGGCGTCTCCACGGGCGGTTCCGCTGGCGGCGCGGTCGTCACGACAGTCGGTGTCGGCGTGTCCATGGGCGGCTCGACAGCAGCGGCCGTGGGCGGGGGACTGAGCGCAAGGGCCGAGGGCCTGTTGCGCAGCGTGCTCACCGCAGAGCCTATCTCGGACATGGAGATGAAGCCTGAGCCGTCGGCCATGCGGCTGCGCCTGCGCGACTGGGTCCGGAGCTCGCGCTCGAGGAACTCGCCCTCCCTGACCACGGCCTGCAGGCTCTGCTCCCACACGTTCTGGCGCTCGCGCTCCTTCGCGAGGTGCTCGCGGTACCAGTCCTCGCGCTCGCGCACCATCTGCACGTACTCGGACAGCAGGGTCTGCGCCGTGTGCAGCGAGTCGGCCATCGCAGCCTTGACGTCGGCCGCGGAGGCACCGGCCTCGAGATCGCTGAGCATCTGCGCAGTCAGCTCCATCTGCATGACTGTCGAGTTGCCGTGGAGGTCGAAGTTGGGATGGTGAGGCGGGTTGTGCTGCGACTCGTCCGAGGACGAGCCTTCGGTCCTGTATCCGTCGAGTTCATGTCCATCTCGGCTAGATTCTTTGATATCAGGACTTCCGTCCGGGGGCTCTTCTCCACCGATAGAGCTGGGAGTAGACTCTATAGACATTTGATGACCTCGCCGGTGCAGTGTACTTGTCGACGTGCGCATAGACGGCGCCACAAGGCTTGCGACCTCGCTCTCCGCGCTTGTCCGCTCTGCTTCGCGCCGTGCCCACTCTATGCCTTTCGTGAGCGCCTGCACCCAGCGGGACGCCTCAACCGGATGGTTCGCTTTCAGGTACCATTTCTGCACACCGTGATGCCCACGCGTTGGGGTTGACTGTATTTCAAAGCGGAGACCACTGCTTCCCGGGGTCTGCTTGAGGACGGCTGTCTTCATCGATATCGAGCCCCGGCAGGCGACCTGCTCATCTTCCTGATGGCGATAGTCTGACGAAGCAGATTTTAGGGAATGCCGGGGAAGACGTGGAGAAACCTACATGACAGAATACCCTGGTTCAGGACGAACCATCGGGTACTGTACCCTTTGGCAACATTAGTATACTTGTTCAGATATCCCTTGAGTTCCAGAGGCTCGGTGGACGACTGGTCCAGCAGCGTCGTATCCTGGTTGCTGACTAAACACAGGACATCAGCTGCGTCCCGACACGCGCACAACCCTCGTACATACACTGTCGCAGGAACACCCTGACGCGATCATCTTTGGGGAGCCCATCCCCAACCGCCCGCCCCTTTCGGTCCCGCGCGAACACATCGGCGCCGGCGCGTATCGCCAGCTCTACGAGGCGCAGGTCCTTGCGGCGCGCAGCCTCGTGCAGCAGCGTCGTCCCGGAGGTGTCGTCCAGGTACGCCAGGTCGACGTGCCGGATGCGGGGCGAGGCGAGTATGGCTACGAGCGCGTCCGGCGGCTTCTCGTTCGGGGACGAAAGGACGTAGTGGTGCAGGAGCGACCGGTACGACGCGCCGAGCAGCGCGCGTGAATCTGCGGGCAGCAAGCGTGGGCGTGAGGGCTGGGGCCCGGGAAAAAAAAAACGGACGACGGGCGAGAGTGGGTGTGTGTGTGTGTGTGTGTGTGCGCACCTTTGATGGCCCGGACGGCCTCCTTGCCCTTCGCCACCTCGAGACACGTGCGGCCCTGGGCGTCGCGCAGCGTGTCGTCGACGCCGTCTTGTTCCAGCAAGAGGTTCACGACGTCGAGGCGGGGGAGCGACGCGGCGAGGTGGAGCGCGGTCGTCCCGGAGCCCGGCGGGTGCACCGAGTTGGGGGAGATGCACTTGTGGCCGAGGAGCAGCGCCACGGTGTCGCCTGGGAGGCTGCAACGTCTAGCGGGCCGAAAACGCAACATGTAGAGAACTGGGAAGACGCACATGATGCACAGCGGACTGCGAGATGCAGTGCAGCCGCGCCGAGGTCTACCTCGCCCTCCGCCGAGCTGCGTCTGTCCCTGCCAATGTCCGCGAGGAACGGGTGGATCTGCGCCGGGTCACCTGCGAGAACGACAAAAGCGAGCTTTGAGCACACGAGCAGAGCTGCCAACATGGCCTGGCCGTACCGCTGCGCAAGGCCGAGAGAAGCCTGACTTGGTACAGGGCGTCCTTGCTCCCTGCGCTCGTCAGTCGTAAGGTGGCACTCGGGGTGGAGAGCGTTTTGGTTGTACCTGCGTCGCGCGCACGCGCAGGCACCGTGGACGATGCGGATGAGGACGGGACCATGGTGTAGGGGCACTAGTCAACGTTAGGTTAGGCCTGTACGGCCGAAGCGGCCGTTCTAGTCGGCTCGGGAGTGGTGGAGGTGGTCGTCTGAGGGTCTGGGAGCGACCAGAGCGGGAGAATCTCGTAGTTCAGGCAGAGCAGGCTGCGAGAGACGACGGTGGTGGTAGGATGGTGAGACGTTCGTTCGCCGGACGCTGCACCAACGGGACTGCGGGAATACAAATTACATTATTTTCGGAATACGTCATTTAGCGGAATTTAACCCCGGTCCGAGAAAGATGGCCGAAAAATTCTCTCGTGTGGGTATTTCCAGCAGAGTTCAGCCGTAGATACAAGGCCGATGCTGTCATGCTGAGCTACGTCTATCTTATTGCTTCTTGGGCTGCGGGCTGCAGGTTATCTGTGTCGCTCCTGGATTCGACGCTTGCCGGGGCACGTCCCTGATGCGCCTGGTAGGCCTAAATTGGGAGATAAACCGGAGCTTTCTCCGAGACAGAACGTTGTCATAGCCATGGAACTGATGCACTCTCCAGACAGACGACAGAGAATGTTTGATCACCAGTCTTGGCTCATCGATCATTGATCACTCCCGGCGGCCATGTTTCGACGCTGCTTCTTGTTCGCACCTCCCGTATGTTTGACCAGGGGACCTCACGGTGAGTGCAACTTTAGGTTACGAGGCACTCATGACGTGCGCGCGTTATGGAGAAGCGCTGAGCTGCGGATGTGCCGCGGACGGCTGGGTCAAGTATTCCTCCGGAGGATGTCGAGGTTGTGAGCGCAGAGTACGACACCAGCCACGCCTTCGTTCTGTCTGAAAGCCATTGGCCCACGCAGCAAAATCTGGGTGCAGCTGCGGAGTTCCGGTGTCATCAAGGGTGGGTTGTGGGTTGCCAGGTCTCGAGGTTCTCTGAACATCTGCTCAAGTACATTTCTCGTCGTGAACAGCGGGGTCCCGGTATGTTGACACCATTACAATGACTATTACAGGTAGTATACCACGAAACAGGAGGGAAGAGGTAATACCTTCGACGCGCTCCGTATTACTCGACGTGAAACATTAAACAAATTACATCTGGCCTAGTCCATCAGGCATGGGGCTGAGCATTTTGTCAACACACTCGTGTCCATTGTAGAAGCAGAAAGTGCTCACCGCGTGCCCCGAGATGACCGGCATACATCCCCTGCAACACGTCCATCGCATCAAGCCGCGCGGTCACGCGCGCAAAAAAGCCATGGGAGCTCCCCTCAGAAGGACTTGCGACGTCGTGCTTGGACAGCTCTCGAGCACTCTGCGCGGCGGCAGGCTCTTTCTGTTCGCGCACGCCCTGCGAGGCCGGAGCGTCGCCATGGGGCTGCTTCCGGCTCGTATGGTGTCCGAGGGTGAGGAGGCTGGCGAGGAAGGTCAGTCCGAGCTGTGTGAAAGTGCGTCAGTGGGGCGCTCCGCAGACCTCTGGTGGCACGCTCACCACGTCCGTGACCTTCCACCCTGCTTTCTGCGCCTGCGGCTCGCTGGCCGAGTCAGCAGTCACAGACGACATCGTGGGCGAGCCTCCTACTACAGGCGTCGGTGGTTCGATGGTTATGGACGGGACAGATGCGCTTCTCGTTGGTCCTGGGTAGTGGAATGGCGTTGAGATCATCAGAAGACTGGGAGTGTGTTCATGGGATGCTCCCGTGGGAGCTCAAAATGTGTGCTGTCAGCTTATGCGTGAGGTGCAGTCGGAGTCCGGGAGAGCACGCCTATATACCATGGCCAACGGCAACCGCAGCTGCAATGTTGCATCCAACTGCTCCGCTGGCGCACGTCGGGCGAGCGCCGTCGAACGTGCGCTGGGAAGATCCATGGCATGCAGCAGCCGTTTGGCAACGTGTCGAGACGTTCTTTCTACGCATGTCCCAAGTTCGAGAGAGTTTATGACGAGCGCATGCTGGCAGGTGCCAGCAAAGCGGACAACAACAGTCGTACCCGGCTCCGGCGTGGCAGGCAGGCAGGCAGATGACGCCGGTCTCTGTCGACTCGGTCGGGCGGAGCTCACAGCAGGAAACGGCTCCGAGGCGATTCATTTCGGCGGGTCTCATCACGTGGGCGGGGGCCTTGTGGCGTCCTTCGAGGAAAAATGAATTGGCAAGTGTGAATGCAAGCGTCGCCGCATATGACCAAGTGGGTCCGCTCTAATGTTACATTAATGGGTCCGCTGGACTTGGACACGACTCGGTTTCGCGGTCGCAACAGACGTATCTTCCTACAAATACAAGATGCTATAGTACGGAACTTACAGAGATATACAGTACACATCCGGTCATCACATGCAAATTTATTCCTTTCTTCACCTCCAAAGTCCAGAGCCGCCGCTTCCATGTCTGTCGCGAGACCGCTCACCACTTGACGGGCGCAGAGTACCTCTCGCCCATAATGCCCTCCTGCCTGGCCTTGATCTCTGCGGGGGCACCACATCAGTTCTCCTCACACCAGAGCGCACTAGAGACGACATACGGAGCGCAAGCCTCTTCGAGTAGAACCGGCACCACGCAAAGTTGCCCATCATGAGCCACAGGTTCTCGACGCCGATCTCCTTCCAGCAGCTCCGCAGCTCGCCCTCGTCGTCGATGCCCCACACCGGCGTCAGCTGCTTGCCCACCTCAGGCCCGACAATGTCCCGGATCGGGCCCCGCGGGTCGCCGTAGCCCGTCGCGAACAGCACCACGTCCGCCTTCATCTCCGACCCGTCCTCGAACACGAGCCCGTCCTTCGTGAACCGCTTGATCGGCCCGCTCGACTTGAGCTTGATCTTCCCGTCGACGATCATCTGCGACGCCCCGACGTCTGTGCCATCGTTTGTCTCGTCAACAACCGTCTACCAGAGGAGCAGCAAAAGGCGGAGAGAGAGAGAGGGGCACACACCGAGGTAGTACCCGCCGAGGCGCAGCATGGCGAGGATCAGGAAGCCCGAGCCGTCGACGCCCAGGTTGGTCTTGAAGCCGACCTTGTGCAGGCCGTCGAGGAGCTCCCTGGGTGTGCCAAGTCCCATAACCGGTCAACAAAAAAAAAAGACATGTGGACCCCACAAGGGAGCGAGCAGCAGACGCACTTGTCGGCCTCGGCAATGTCCTTCGTGATCCGCTTGTGCACCATCTTGCGGTAGAGGATGGGCATCGAGTTGTCGATGAGGTCGCCCACCTCGGTCGGCGGGCCGTCCTCCCAATACACACCTGCCGCACACGCGCACATCAGCCATCGTCACAAGGGAGAGAAACCCAAGGCGCGACGCGACGGCGACGCACCCTTCATCAGCCGGGGCATGCCCTCCTTGTTGGTCATGATGTACGTCGACGCGCGCTGGACGATCGTGACGTCGACCCCGTTGTCCGCGTAGTCCGCCGCGATGTCGTGCGCCGAGGTGCACGCGCCGACGACGGCGACCTTCTTGCCCGCGTGGTCCGTCGCCTTGTCGTGCTGCGTCGAGTGCAGCACCTGGCCCTCGAACTCGTCCTGCGCGCCGCGTCAGTCCCTCCAAAAAAAACAACGAGGGGGGGGGGGGGGGGGGGGGGGGGGTTGGCGCTCACCATGCCGGGGATCTTGGGCATGTTCGGCGTCCCGCCGCCGACGCCGATGGCGAAGACGACGTGGTCGACATAGAGCACCCGGTTCTTGTCGCCGCGCTCGACCGTGACCTGCCACTTGCCTGCGTTCGGGCCCGAGGCCTCGCGCCGGGCGTTGATGACCCTGGCGTCGGTCCAGTAGTCGACCTCCATCGCGTTCGCGTAGTACTCGAGCCAGTCCGCGAGCTGGGGACAGGGACAGGTGACGTCAGCGTCGCGAGACGAAGAGAGAGAGAGAGAGAGAGAGAGGGCGCCGCGCATGACGCACCTTCTGGGCGGGCGTGTACACGGGCCAGCTCGCAGGGAAGGGGATGTACGGCATGTGGTCGTACCCTGCGCAACCGCGTCAGAAGTCGCACGGAACAGAGAGCAAGGGGGGCAGCCTCACAGACGACGTCGTGCAAGCACAGCGCAGCGTAGCGGTGGCGCCAATTGTCGCCGATGCGCTTGTGCTTCTCGCACACGAGCGTCGGCACGCCGAGGAGCTTGAGGCGCGCGCCGATCTCGAGGCCGGACTGCCCGCCGCCGACGACGAGCACCTCGGGGTCGCGGTCCACGAACTCGCGCGCGCGCGCGCGCTGCTCGAGCCACTTGCCGTGGTTCGGCGCGGGGTCGCGGAGCGGGCCCGACGCCTCGGGGTGGCCGTGCAGGGCCTCGAGGTTCGTGAAGACGTTGTGCGCCTGCCAGGTGCCGCGCACGGGCACGAGGCGCGCGACGCCGCTGCACGCGCCGACCTCGTTCTCGCACGTGTAGTGCACGCGCACCCACGCGAGGTCCGCGTACAGGTCGTCCGCCTGCGCGGACGTGAGCCGGAAGTTGTGCAGCTGCGCCGGCTGCAGGCGGTCCTCGAGGAAGCGGCGGATGCGCGCCGGCCCCTGGAACGAGCGCAGGTCCCAGGTCATCGCGAGCAGGTCGCGCCACCAGGCGTCGTCGGTCAGGAGCGAGAGCACGCCGTCGATGTCGTTCTCGAGGATGTTCTCCTCGAATTTCTTGAGCCACTCCGTCGCGACCTTGTCTGCGTCGGCGGACGTGACGTCCTTGGTGGTGATGCCGAGACGCTTCGTCGTCGGGAGGTCGGTATGTGCGGTCGCCATCTTGGAGATTGTGCTGTGAAGAGGAGAGCTATCGAGGAGGTGCACGGCAGCGCTCACCTGTTCATATAGCCTTCAAACGCGCTGATAGGCCTCATTACGTGACGGTTTGCGGGGTTCCGGAAGCAGGGCAGCTGACCCCACAAAGGGGAACCTGCGCGACCTCCTATACCCAGCAGTGGAGATGACGTCTGGTCATGAGAACCCCCTGAGACGCGAGCGAGTTGCAAACCACGAGCGCCAAGACCCCCGTCAAGCAGCCCGATCGCAGGCTCCGTGGCCAAATAGACTTCAAATTCATTTTGGTCTCGCCACCCACCAGGCCATGGCTGTCGAGCACCGAAGCTCGGTCTGCGGTCGCGGATGAGAAATAGCAAAAACAGGCGTCAGGAAAGGCCCTCCTTGCTGCGCGCTCTCGCAGATCGGAAAGAATGCGGCAACTACGGGATACGTCACTCGGAGGTCCCGTGGACTGACCATTTCGGCTCCAAGAAGGCATTCAAGACACAGACTCGACACAGGAGTTAGGGGAAGCTCGGGAGTCTGGGGGAGAAGATCTGTGGGGATGATTGTCGCGAGAAGGACTTCGGCCGTGCCTGGTGGGGAACGAAAAGCGTCAAGACCATCCTTAAACTGAGTAAGCTTGCTTGGCTTACTGGCTAATAGTAAGACTGTAATAAGCCTAAGGACTAAAAGTATAAGCGCCTTAAATCCTTATCGCAGCTACTTACTGGCTTACTTATCCACTACTATTCATCTGCATCAAAGCTATACAGCTTGCTTTGTGCCATAGGTCGTCTGAGAACAGCAGTGTGCAATATTACAGTAGAGTGATGATACGTGACATGCGCGGAGTGAGAAATTAGCAGAAAGCTAGACTTGCTCTTCGCTCACGAAGCTGTACGCTTCAGTTTAAACGAGACTCGCAAATCTTGGGTCGTGATACCTCTCAACAACATAGTTAACAAGCCCCATATCTGCAAGAATCACGACGCTATGAGCGCATACCTCGAATCCACGAGCGGTCTGCTACTCACCGAGCTCGTTGCCCAAATCTATCGTTGCGAGTGCCCTCAGCTCATCGTTCCCCGCAACCTTGCCGACCACCTCCACGTACGCATCAGTCATCAACGTGGGGTTCAGCTACATATAAATGCTCAGCAAGATGGACGCCAGATAGCAGAGGAATGCGGGCGTACATTCGACAAGACGACCCGTACTTCTCCACCATCACTGGCTTGCAGAACCGCCTCGTTCGATGCGTCACTCAGCTGCATGTACGACCCTCAGCTATAGTCAAATGCGATGAAAGTCTTCCAAAGACACTTACACGCAACACTTTACCCGTCAAACGGACGACTTGGCCTTGAAAGTCTGGCATTCTGGCCGAGTTGACTCGGGGAGTCATGTGTTCGCTCATAGTGACAGGTCTGCGGAGAGAGGCACGCTAACCGTCAAAGAGAGCAGGAAGCGGCTGTGAGAAAGCAGAATCGATGGCTATGGTGGTGTAGAGTCAACTCAGTCAAGGATGGACGCGCCGTTTGGCGAGTCGCGAACGCATGAAATATCACGTGATCATTGTACGCGTCGCCGGATATTCTCGCCTCCGCATCCTTTGTGACTCCACCAAGAAGCAGGAAAGCAAGTAAGCAAATATATTGCGCAATTAGAAAACTCGATGAAAACATGCAAAGCATCTACAAAGCCAGTACAAAGATTGCCGGGTCTGAATCCAAATCTAAAGCAGAGAGAGAGAGAGAGCCGTGAATGTCATCGTCGTGCGCGCCATTTCCCACCGCATCTTGCCACGCCCTACTCCCACTCGATGGTCGTGTCGACGTTGAGGTCGATTTGCAGACCACTAACGAGCAGCCTCTGCTGCGCCTCCGCGTAATCCCAGTCATACACCTCACGGCCCCGTACGCGCACCGCGCCGTTCGGCCTTGCTGTGCCAAGCACAGTGAGGCTCTCTAGCTGGGGTTGCACGCTGTACTCTCCAGCGCTGGAAATGTCAATCCGTCCCGTGCTCACGCGGAACTCGACGTTGCGATGCGGCGTCGGCTGCACGCTTTCTCCGTCGTCGATGTAGGCGTGTCCGAACGCGTATCCGTCCGCGGCTTGCGAAACGAGGAGGCCGTACGGCGCCGTCATCGTCTCCTCAATCGTGTACTTCGGGCTCGGGTGCATCAGAATCGCCGCGCCCTCGCGAATGTGCACCGGGATCTTGCCGAGCGGCGCATCGACCGTCGTGTTCCGACCCGGATTCGTCCCCTGCACCTCGTGTGTGTAGAAGTCGCGCCACGTGACTGTGCCGCGCCCAGGGAACCAGCCACCGACTGTCGAGACGTTCGGCATCAGCACGGGCGTGACGAGCAAGTCGTGCCCAACCATGAACTGCTTGTCGATGCCGAACAGCTCGGGTTCGTCGGGGAACTCCCAGAAGAGCGCACGGACCGGGGGAGAGCCGAATTGCGAAGAGTTGGCAAACAGCGTGTACTGTCAACGAATAGTGTCGTTAGTATTTTTCCAGCGAAATTTTCCCGGCAAATAGTACATACCCAGTACGGCAGTAGTGAGTATCGCATGTAAATCGCCTGCCTCGACGCCTCGGCAACGCTGTCCCAAACGTACGGCTCTTGCGGAATTGCGCCGAGGACGTTGTGATTCCTATAGAATGGCGAGAACGCGCCGAGCTGCATCCAGCGGTTGCACAACTCCTCGTCCGTGTTGCCGTTGAAGCCGCACGTGTCCGCTCCGGTGAACGGAACCTGGAAGATCTGGAATTGGAGCACGCCCTGGATACTCAGGTACATGTATGTCCACTTGCTGAAGTTGTCCCCGAGCCAATGCCCTGTCCAGCGGCCCGCGCCGGGGAACGTGCTTCGCGCGATGAGGAACGGGCGCTTGCCCGGGTGTACCGCTTCGAGTGCGACATGCGTTGCACGCTCCTCCATCATGCCCCACAGATTGTGCGTGTCGTGCTCTACGAGGCCGCCCGCATGCGTCGCGTTCATCGAGAGCGCATGGTCCGAAAGTCGGCCGTTGCCGTGGTGGATCGCGTAGGGCGGCGTGTTGAGGTCGCGATCCTTGATACTGTGTCCGTCCTTGCCGCGCTTGCTAGAGGTATCCCAGCCTGCGCGACCACGCTTGTCGGTTTGTATAGGGCCTCCTCCGTATCCGCCGCCGTAAGTCAGGGCGCCGTCGATGGTGATGTTACCACTAGGACCCCAGATGGTCGAATCGTAGCTGCAGCGATCAAGTCAGCTTCGAGCTCGAAGATAGAACCGGTAAAAGTCTTACCCTTCGGGATACGCAGTGATTTCATTGCCGGGAAGGCCAGGAAGAATGAATGGCACAGTCGTATTCGACAAGTCCGCAGTCGTCCCGCTATCAAAAATGTCAATATCTCCGCATCCGTACTGGGCCATTGAAACTCACCAAGAGCCATCACAGAAACTCGACGCTTCGTTCATATCCAACCAAATACCCGAGAACTCAACACCAAGGGCACTCCAATTCTGCAGTGCTTCCGTCCAGTACTGCTGCGCATGCTCGGCAAACCAGTCGGGGAAAACGGTGTAGCCTGGCCAGACCTGGCCGACATACTCTGTGCCATTGAGGTTCTTCATGAAGACATCACTATGGTGAACATCAGTTAAGGTCGAGGGGTCCGCGAAAGAAGACGACGTACAGTTCGACACCGCGTCTGTAAGGGTCGTACACGTCTGTGTCGTTGACCTCTTTCGGCACCGCCGCATCCACAATAGGGACGTAATGCTGATTGCGAGACGCTAGCTCTCGAATGAAGGCGCGCATGTCTTCGCCCGGAAATGACACTGGGTCTAACGTAAAGTCGCGATACGCATGATAGAGGTCGATATCATTCCAGATAGCTGTCAAACTCGTCAGTCAACCTGCCAAGACAGTACAGAGGGAGGGCCAACGTACTTTCCATCGGAATATCGGCAGCCAACATCTGATCGACCGCGTAGCGCGTGCCTTCGACACTCCCATATCCCCACTTGCACAGGTGGAACCCGAATCCCCATGCAGGCTGCCACGTAGGGAAGCCGATGAGCTCACCGTGCTGTTCGATGGCTCTCTGGGGGGTCGGGCCGGAGAAGAAGTAGAAATCAAGCGTACCGCCGATCATGCGATATTCAACGAGTGACACGTCGGAGTTTTTGGGTGTGAGCAGTAGCACATCGCCGCCGGCTGGACTGTAAAGGAACACGCCGTGTGTCTGCGCGCGCTGCGTAGCGGGATCGAAACGGTGCTCGAGGTAGACGTTGTGTGCGCCGTAACTAGTCAGCGAGGCGGACCAGAATCAGCGGTGGGCAGAATAGGAAGGGGTGGAGATCCTTACACATTCTCATCGATAGCGTCAGCCACGTCTCGGGCCCACATCGCCTGTACGGTCCCCTCGCCCGTTTCGCCGATGTCGCGGCGGAAACCGCTACTTGCCAGAACTTCACCCAGACCATAGATATTCGTTCCCTTGGGGAGAGCGGACGCGAGCTGCAGATACTGGTCCTCGAAGACCAAGGGGAAGCCGTCTAGAGCAGACGAGTGATCGTAGAAGGTAGCATTTTCGTGCAGAACAGGTGGTATCGGCGTTTTGGGCAGCGAGGATATCCTTGTGTCGAATAGGGGCATTGCATCTGGCTCGGAACGGCGTGTAATCCAGAAGGCGAATGGTGACGTGTCGTGGTGAAAGACGAGGTCGGACGAATCCTTGTGGATGGTGCCATCTGGAGCTGGAAGGGTAAGCACCGATTCGGGAACAGTGAATTGCGTTCGTGCAGTGTCATAAATGTTTACGTGCAGTCTGTCAAAACGATTAACGACCTTCTAGACTAACGATCCAAATGGCGCACCTCGTGTCGGAATCGTAATTAACTTCCAGCGTCAGGTCTGAGATATCCAAGCCATAGGCATTGCATGCGTTTCCAGCGAGGCTCAGGCGAGCATTGAGGCCATTTCTTGTCTCCTGCAAAGAACGCAGTTCATAGCCTAGACGAGGTTTTACGATAGCGCACACGTAATAATCACTCGGGTACGCACCTGGACACGTTGACACGTTGTATGACAACACATCCTGCTCGACCGCGAACTGCTTCTGGGCTGCTTCTCGTATAATGTCGAACATAGGCTTGCCAAAGGCACGGAGGTCTGGTACGGTGAGTAGCAGGAGACCCGCAAAAAAGGCAGACATCATGCTGAAGGCAAAGACCATCTGAGGCCTCGTGGGAGGCTGTGAACCGAATATTAATCGGTCCATTCTGTACCAGCTTTTGCTGGTAGGCATGCAATGGCGGCGGCGCTCTAAGGCGTTGGTCAAGGATGGGCTCTTAGTGCCTCGTCAGAGCATGGGGATGGGGATGAGGCAGAGATGCGGCGGTAAGCTCGAACTTTATGGAACACGGGACGAACTCTGCCTCGCAATCAATTTACTGGTGACGTCGGCAGCGTGCGCACTAAGTCGATTCGGTTCGCCGGAGTCTTCCGGATCTGCCGCCAGAAATCGAACCGAATCTGGATTTCGCTTGGGCGCCTACGGCGGATTGTGAAGCCTACAGTCGTTCAGATCTTTCAGATGTAAGGCGGGGGTGCACAGAAACAACGAGGCGCACCGCAGAGCACACGTCAAAGTTAGTATCTTTGCAGACAGTCAGTGCACCCAGTCAAGCTACGAATGCACCCGCACGGCTGTTACTCGCTATCGGCGGCGCGAAGCCCCAGGCATACTTTGGCACGTGTAGGCCGCCCGACGACAGCTGAGATAACTATTTGAGCAGCCTGCGAAAGGCCTTAGTAGCGCAAACGTTGAGGGGAGTGCAATAGGTCATGGGACAACAAGGGAATCTCACCGTCGACCGTTGACCCGAGATCTGCTCTGTTTGCCACCACACGCACCCACTGAGCGAAAGAGGAATCCACAAGGCTATGACAGCATTGTACGCTTGACGGTCTCTTTTCTAGGGAGGCCGAATGTGCCCAAATACTCGAAAACTTGTGAGAACGAAAGCGGGACGCTAAATGCTGTGTTCTCACATTTTCACGAGCTTGGACAGCTCCAGCGCCCGACAGCGCCCTGAAATTTGGCCATTCGTGGACTGCGACCCAGATTCTGTGCCGAATGCGTTACCCGCACGTCGGGTCTTTTATCTCCTGTGAGTCTGGGGCCTGCATATAGGCATGCCGCGCCTTCCCGTCTGAAATGATATCCGGACAGAGGCAAGCTTGCGCATATATGCGCAGCCAAGTACCTCCCGGAAGGGTGTGGGCCCCGCTTCTGACGTTGGAGGT